AAAAAATAGGAAAGTAAAACAGGCCATCTGTGTAAGACGGTATGACAGCTGGCAGCAAAGTGACGGATCATGCAGAAGCTTTGACTCGGTAAGGGTGAAAGCATATGGTTCTCGAACGATGGCTTCATACGAAACACAGATGCATAGATGAAGCGGGGATGTTCAATTGAGCACCCAAGGCAGCAATGGCAGTCCAAGCCAAGCTAGGACAGCGAAACAATGATTCGCGATGAGGGATTTTCGAAAGTTCGATTTGAGGCAGCATAGATGATTTCGCCACGACAGCAGGGTGCATGCATCCATGAAGCACCGACTGATTACAATCAACCCAAAAAGGAATGTTGCGGACATCTCGTGTCTCCACTGTTGGGCAAACTTGTTGTAGCCAACCGCAAGAAGCATTCACGGGAGGTGATGCGAATGTGATGGTAGAATGCTGTGGACGATAAGCCATCACACACCAGAGGCACTGATCGACAATGAATGGGCATAGTAACAAGAATTGGCTGAGCAGTAATATAGAAGCTGTTCACGAAACATAAATAGGGCCAACGATCCTTCATCTCGATGTTATCTGGATCAATAATCGTTTCAAAGTATATCTCCTCAAACAAATCCATAAGACATAAAGTCTTGATCTTGATATAACGCGTTTCAACTTTTAGAAATCTCCATCAAAGCTCAATAGGCTTTGTTCAAGCCTAGCCTATCAAATATTCGGAGGGCGGTAGGACCACCAGGTCGAGCCAATAGAATATAAGGCAGAAGGTGAAACAGCGAATCTGCACCAGGTACCAGTGAGTTTGATCGTGACCCCAGACAAGCATTCTCTGACTGATCTGATAGGCATGTGTTTTTACAACCAGAAGAGATATGCTTGTGGAGATTGGAGTTGGACCAATTTTGCTCACCGCTGCAATTACGAGTACCGTACTGGCGAGACGTGTGGTATGAGACTTGTTAACATGACCGAGTTTGAGTCGGCACAATGCCGTCTTTGTGAGAAGATCGAGACCAAATACCGGCGGCGAAGCGCCGAGATGGAACGGTTGAACCGGTGGAAACGGGAGGGAAGCACTCTTGTGGCCTCCATGGATCGATCACAGAAGCTCATATCGGAACTTGACAAGGAGATCCGCCAGCTTCAGAGAGAACGTGATGACCGACGAAAAGCACTGTCTTGAACTGGCGTTTCTTATTAATAGGGGGGCTATGGCGCTGGCGAACTGGAGCTGGATTTTTTTATTCTTTTTTAGATTCCCTTATTTGCGATTTCTTTTCAATTCAGTCCTAATTTCGGTGCAATGATTTCATGTCTCACAATCATGGGTCATTTTGCTCATGTGGCTCGTTGGCTGTGTCATCATGCTGGGTTGTTTCCATCAAAATGAAAACAGACCCATCTGATGATTGGAGGAAAAGTTTGGATTTGATGGGAACCTGATGTCGATTGAATATGAGACCCAATGAAGTGTCCCGAATCCCGCAAATCGTGCGTCTCGTGTGGTATCCTCAACGATCAGTTCCACTCAATAAGCGCCTATATTCTTGGTGAGCGCTTCGCCGATAAGGATAGGCAAGTAGCCCCGTATATAAGCAACTGCAAAAAATGCAAGAGGAATTGGGCAAAGAACTTGAACGAGAAGACATCCCATATTTCTCAGCTACCCAGTATAGACACCACATCCACCAGCGATTAGTGTCTGGATATCAATGCCACTGAAACAGCGTGGTTGGATTGTTTCTAGTATGAATGTGAAGCCCCGCGTCCATTGTATGTACTCACATGGGTCTAACCGAATTCAGTTAGCTCAGTTTAGTGAGTCGGCCCTCCGTCTCGTTTTCGAATCCGTAATAAGATGAACAGCACCGGTGAAGCGAAGTACTTCTATCATCAGTCCTTGTTCCCTTACAGCTTGAAAAGGTTGGTATATTCCTACCGATTTCCAATTTTGTCACAGAGCGTGTTCAACTCCTGGATATTATGGAATACTTCCATCAAAAGGAGAGGCCGCATACCGGCAAAACCTCATGGCGAACCGACGCGATGGCATTTGTTGTAGATGATGATGATGCCTTCATTCATAATCCTGCCGTAAGAATGGAAGTAGGAGGTGGATTGTCTCTAGACACTGCTTATATATGAGGGCTTCACGCCAACACCCTCCGCCAACACCCTCCGTACGGAGTACATTCAGCATCATCCAAACGCCAGATGCAACCGGACCTTCGAAGCTACGTGGACCATTTATCTTGATTCGGATAGCTCTGCAGCAATTTTGATCGAATTGGCATGAAGAACACGAGAGCAGACATGAGAGCTCGGGTGTCTGTTGTGCAAATTGACGCAGCCGCCTGCCACGTCACCAGTGAACAACATTAGTTACGCTTCAGAGCCGGCGGTAACTACTGGTACGTCCATGCCCATCCTCTCCGAGTCAAAGGTATGTTTCAGCGACATATGCTTTCACGGACTTATAGCTTGAATCACGATAGTCTCGGGGCTGTGGTAGATTACTGAAAGGGAGTTTTCAATGAGAACAATATGGGATTATCTTGATCGAGTAACTGAACAAGAAGCAGTCTTTCATGCTTTATTTGATGTCCCCCGCCTCAGGCTCGTCATCAACTTTAGCCAGTCCATGCTGCTTCAGCAGAGCATTAATTTCGTCGGCGTTCCACAGGTGGTGGTAAACCTTCCCTTCCTGAGTCTTTCCCACCGTTGCAAATTCAACTGTGAGAAGAGGAATTAGTAAATTTCGCTCAGTAGCAGTAGTGGGAAAGAGTCGGGTAAAATTTCCATGCGCCACCACTTACTCTTCTCACTGCTTAACTTTGTAGAGTCCATAGTCTTGCTCAGGACCTTGACGGCCATGGCACACGCCTCCTTCAAATCACAGTCTTCCTTGTAATCTTGTTTGAGCAGACTCTGAGCACTTGCGTTGTTTGCTCCCACGCTAGTGGCCTTCCAACCACCGTAGTTACCACTGGGGTTGCTCTGGTACAACTGGAACTCCCGAAGAGGATCGTAGCCGGCATAGATGAACGAGACACCAAATGGACGGAGACCACCATGCTGGGTGTATCCCTGTTTCAAATCGCACAGTCGACGGACCAGTTGCTCACATGGGATTTCTTCGTCGTAGGTAAGAAGATAACGCTGGGCGGCTTGTCGAGCGTAGTTGATTAGGATGTTTGCATCTGCCGTCATACCTGCCACGGCACAGATCATGTTACTACCCGGAAGATTAGCTTTTGGAGACAGCCACGAGAAAATGTCTGAAAAAAATATCATCCGTACTCATTCAGAGTGTAAAGTTTCTCCGCAGAAGTATCCTGCTCTAGCAGCTTGCTAGTCACCTTCTTCTCCGCCGCAAGAACGATTCCATCTTTGGCTAGAATTCCTAGAGCCGTGCCGGCGTGCGAAATTGCTTCGAGCGCATATTCAACCTGGTAAAGACGACCTCGGGGGAGAAGATGGTAGTCTATCGAACAGCGTCATCGGTTAGCTAGAGCTTCCGGGCAAGGAGGATTACGGAATGAGCGTACCCTGGAATCGTATCGTCGTGACATATCGAATGTGACGTAAAAGCGGGACAACTAGAAATAGAGGAGCCTTTGTAGATGAGCGAAGGCGGAGGGAAAAGAAAGGGAGGTTGTGATGAGGAGTGGGCAAGCTGTGTAGGGTGGGTTGGGGTGAGCTCCAAGTGACAGTCAGTGACCAGGCAACTCGCCCTGCGCGTCCAGCGGCTTGCCATTTGCCAAGCTCGGGCCCACGCCTTTACCTTTAGTTTCAATGCGAAGCTCTCGACTGCCGCAAAATTGCATGCGCTTTCCGCTACAATAATAGTTGTACCAATTCTTCTATGGATATAAATATCGGGAAATTCTTAAGCCAACGATCCATCTAACCCATATTCTCGGTACATCGCGATTATAATGCTCAAGTCCACCTATACCCCTCCCCCTCCACTACCACCAGGGTGGACCGAGCATAGAGCTCCTTCGGGTGCGTCACATCGCTATTGTCATGGAAGTTCTCTTGTCTGACTGGACACAGGCCACTTGTATTATTATAACTCGCAAACAAAACAATCAACCTACACTAGACCTCAGGCGTCCCCGGCTCAACCTCAATCGACCCCTTCTGCACCCGATACCACCCACAACGCTCCCTATCTTACTCCAGATACTTTACCTCCATTTTCCTCGACACCTTATGCACCTCATGGATTTGGGTTTGGCACATATAGTCAAAGAACGCCTCAACATGGTCAAGATCGGGGCGGCTTTCGTGGTGGAAGAGGCTATCACGACCGCAGAAATAGAGGGACGGAAGATAGGCCGAAATCAAAACATGCCCTACCCAGCTGTGCACCATGGGTACTCGTCAAAACCAAACTGGGAAGAAGATTCGTCCACAACCCTGAAACAAATGAAAGTTTCTGGAAAATCCCACCGGAGATATTGAAAGGAGTCGTGGAGTACGACCGTGTAGAGAGAGAGAAGAAAGAGAAAGCGGAGCGCGGTGAAGACATCGATGACGAGAGTTCCGTGCTTGAAAGAGAAACCGAGCCATCTGGTGAACAGCATCAAGAGCAGAAGGGCATCACCCCGGCTGCATATGCGGGTGAAGAGAGCGACGAATACGAGGAAGTCGAAGTCACAGATAGCGAAGGCGAAGATGAGTACCATCCTTCCAAACGGCCGAAAACGGAGGGCGACGATGGTCAACAACAACCTTTGGAGTTCACGGAAGAGGATATTGAGTATCAACTCGCCGCTATGGGCGAAGAATATGGCCTTGACCCCGGCGAATACGGTGAACCAGGCGAAGATGGCTGGGAAGAAGGTGCTGAGGGATTACCACTCACAGAAGAAGACGCAACTGCTCTGTTCCGTGACCTTCTTGATGATTATCATATTAACCCGTATGCAACCTGGGAGAAGATTATTGAAGAAGGCCGGATTATAGAGGACTCTCGTTACACCGCGCTTCCGAATATGAGGTCGCGTCGGGAAGTTTGGTCTCAGTGGAGCCGTGATCGGATCCAAGTGCTTAAGGAGCAGAAAGAGAAAGAAGAGAAAAAGGACCCGCGCATCAAATATCTAGCTTTCCTTGAAACACACGCTACTCCCAAGCTATACTGGCCAGAATTCAAACGCAAGTATCGCAAAGAGCCCGAAATGAAAGACACTCAACTGTCCGATAAGGATCGAGAGAAGTTCTATCGTGACTTAATGTCACGGTTAAAACAGCCGGAAAGCACGCGCAAATCCGACCTCTCCGCCCTGCTGAAGTCCGTACCTCTGCATGATTTCAATCGCTCGTCGAACCTGGAAGCTCTCCCTCCAACGATCATTACTGATATCAGATATATCTCCCTCCCTGCGAAGGTTCGCAATCCCCTTATTGAAACCTACATATCTACTTTGCCGCCGCGCCGGAGCAGGGTGAGCATATGACTGCGGAACAACGAGAAGAGGCAGAACGTAAGAGGATGGAGCGCGAAAAGCGTGAGAAGGCTCTGGCAGAACGTGAGAAGCAAGTGCAAGAGGACAAGCGGAAGCAGCGGGGAGACCTTGCCCGTGGGAGGAATCTTCTAAGAGAAGGAGAGGCAGAGATTGAAGAAGCTCTCAGGATAGGCAAGGCCGGGTTACGAAGCCATATAGAGGTCGAGCAAGATGCGTCAAAGGAAGGGGAAGCCCAGGAAGGGAAGTGATCCATAGGTAGTAATCATGTATAGTACAAATCCATTCAATTGCTATTGTCTGGCCAACAGCAGCCCGCCGAACCGTCACGGCTATGGGACCAATGCATTTCCTTCCAAATCTCCGGACAAATTATTGGTTCGATGTTGGTCACAGGGTGACAACAAATACTCATACCTAATAGATACAAAATAGCCAAAGCGCCCGCCTTGGAATCCAGTCATGTATGTTGACACATTAGAGAACACTTTTGTGCGACTTCGTATAGATCATGGGGTATCAATGTAATTATGAAAAGTTCAAGACCTCCCTTTGTAAGAAATGACACCTTCTCCGTTTTCCCAGTTTGATTCTTTCCGGTCTGTTACCTGAATCTCCAGTTATCCCAGTCGTCATCGTCATCGTCATCATCGTCGTCGTCATTTTCTTCATCTTCCTGGCCCTTTTCATGGCCTGACACTGTGGCGCCCGAAGCTGGACCATCCATCAAACCAACATCTTGAACCCCTGTGGCCCTCATATTTCTTAGCTCCTCACGTTTGTGCTTCAACCGTCTAACCCGCTCCTCTAGCTGTTCCATCTCGTCGAACTCGTCTTCTAAGAAGCGGGCTGCGTCTTCTCGTTCACCTTCGGCCTCGGCCTCACGACCACGGGCTATTGTGTCATTCTCTTTCTCTTGTTGTGCTGCCAGCTGCTCGGCGGAAACCGGTGCCGCTGATATCGTCGCCTGTGCGGCGACAGCGGCAGGCGCTTGTGGTGCCCGGGTTGGGGCCGCTACTTCACGCTCAAAAGCAGCCCACTCGTCTTCATCAATTGTCTTGGCTTGCTCAGTCGTGTTATTCGATGCCGCTGCTGCCTCAGATGGTTGTGCACTAGGTTGAGCGGAAATCTGCTCGGCGTCTTCGTCTGATGGGGGTTCCGGGCCAGCAGTATCTTGCTCTGAGAGTTCAATGTCTTCATCAAGGGACTGGGCACTCGGTGGCTGTACAGTACGAATATTCGCTGACTTTGGATCCGCGTTTGCGATCGCGTGTCTCATTTTCTTGCGCGTCAAGTCATCTTCAGGATCTACCTTGCGCTTCTTGGTAACACGGTTTGTTGTTGTCGTTGCTGCTCTTCCGGTCTGATTTGAGCCTTTGCGAGAAGCCAGTTCATTTCGAAGTAACGATCGAACATCCGCCATCGTTATGAAGATAAATCCCCTTTTTTTTTTTATTAATGTTTGACTTCTTTCTGTTTTTTTTATTAAGAGAGCCGTTGCTGATTGTGATAAGGTATTCCAAAATATCGTAGCTGGATTAGACTAGTGTTAGATGCAGGACGATCAGGAAAATGCAGTGCGCAATCTATGTGGGGATACGGAGAAGCTTTCAATGAATAAACGCGCGACGAAGAGGAACCCTGTTTGGCGTTGTGCCAAGACCTCCCCGCCGAGCCGCACCCAGGCATTCACGTGTTTTCTGACTCAGCAGGCGACCGCGACTCCGTCTTCATCTCATTCCTCTTCTGCCAACTTCATCTCCTCATCTCCCCATCGCCTCCCTGACAACTGACCTGTCGCCAAACCCATCAGAAGCTACTACGCAGTCGCTTGGTTGCCAATCTAGTATCGTCGGATTGCAAGCCATATCTATAAATCTCAGCCAACATCAAGACAGCGCTCACGCGACCCCGCTCACGCCAAGCATTCACGCTGCGCGCGAAAGAGGAATTCATCAGAGTCAGGACACCGAAACCCGGTGTTGAAGTACTGTCGCTACGCGTTGTGTCTTAAATAAATCTTTGTGGAACCAAATTTGAGAAGATAAAGTAATACCTGTGTGGACCAAGCCGCAGTGCCACTGTCCAGCGTCTTCTCCTGTGTATTACTTGAACCCTCTGATGCCGTAGAACGAGATTTGGGTGGCGCTTGTCCCAGGTTACTCTACATCGCACCGTAGAAATCTTTTGCATCTTATCATTATATATCCCCACCATGGCCGGTAAGCTCATAGTAACCACAATCTTGCGGACAGTATGTCAGTCCACATAGGAGTGGAGTGACGGTTGAAAGCAGATCCCCAACTCAGTCTGAATAGCCAGCTAACTGTGACGTCAGAAGAACCGCGACGATCAGGTCGCTCGACCAAGGGTCAGCACAAGAACCTCGATCTTATCCCTGAAACACCTGCGAAGAAGCCCAAGTCGAAAGCGCAGCCAAAGGAAAAACCGCCGAAGCCCTCCGTCGAACCAACACCTGCCCCCAGTGAAGAAGAAGAGATTATCCGATGTATATGCGGAGAATATGAAGAGGAGGAAGACGTTGAACGTGATATGATTTGCTGCGATCGCTGTTCAGCGTGGCAACATAATGACTGCATGGGTCTCACATTCGCGAAGGGCGAGGAGCCTGACGAGTACTTTTGTGAGCAGTGCAAGCCTGAAAATCATAAGGTTCTCTTAGATAAGATTGCGCGTGGTGAAAAGCCTTGGGAGGAGGCGGCTGAAAAAAGGCGCAAAGAAGCTGAGGAAAAGAAAGCATCGCGTCGCAGGAAGGGTAAAAAGGGAGGCAGAAGAGGCAGACCCAGTGAACCCAAGCCTGAGCCCAAACCCGAGCCTAAAACCGAGGCGAGCACACCCGCACGTACAGCAGCTTCGTCAACCCCAGCCCCTGCTCCTGCTCCTGTTCCTGCACCCGCCGCCTCGTCTGCCCCTCCAGCGCCTGAGGCTCCTGAGGCTTCCCCAGCACCCCCATCTGTTACACCTACCACCGAGAAAAATGGTGTCGTCCCCGATGCCCGGTCGGCAAGTGCTCAAAAACGCAAGTTTGATGAACATCAGGACGTGTCTACGCCTGAACCTGTAAGTGCTCTGGCTAACACCTTCGAACAAGCTACTCAGATAACTAATCACCTTATGATTCAGACACCGAAATCGAAACAGCAGAAGGTCTCTCCCCCAGCAGATACTGTGATGTCTGGCGTGGAAGAAACCCAAGTAAAGGATGAAGCTAAGGAACAGCCTTCACGCCAAAACTCTACCGCAGAATCGGCAGTGGTTGAGGGCGTAAAGACTGTGGAAGAACTCTCTAATCCTGCTCGGAAAAGTGCGGCCAGTGCTCTGGTCAGGTTATTTGTAGATCAGGTCTCTGAAGCCCGAAGGCGAGGTTCCTTCAGCTTGTCGGATGGGAAGTCAGCGGAGGAGGTCGCACGGCAACTCGCTCTCTCAATCGAGAATGCAATGTATGAGAATTTCTGCGGAGGATCTGGAGAGACCACAGAGCAGTATAAAGCACAATTGCGGACGATCTTGTTCAACGTAAAGAAGAATCCTTCTCTACGGGATCGTCTGCTCGTAGGTAGTTTACTCCCAGATACCCTCTCTAAGATGAGCTCCCAAGACATGGCAAGTGAAGAACTGCAACAGAAGGATGCCGAGATCAAGCGCGAAGCCGAAAGGCAGCATATTATCGTGCAAGAGCAAGGGCCAAGGATCAGGCGGACCCATAAAGGCGAGGAGCTGGTTGAGGACGATAATCAGAATGTGTCCAGTGAGCCCGTGTTCTCCGCTGCTCCCCGTCGAAGCTTAGTCGATGCAGATGGCAGCCAAAGCCCAGGTCCTCAGCAGCCCGGCGAAGGCGATAACGCTCAGAAAACTGGTAATCAACAAGCGTCTGACAGCAAACTCGGCGACGGCATTTCTCACGACCAGCACTTCCCGCCTAGGGCTCACTCTCCTGGCGGCACTGAGCACGACCAAGTGTTTCCAGAGGTGGCAACCCATATTCGACAGCCACTACCGACTGGAAAGGCTCAGGCCGATGCAGAGATTGATCAGCTTTTGAAGGACGATGAACCAGAGTCGCCGCCTTATTCACCTAAGGATTATAATGACGAAGGAGCAGTTTGGCGTGGCAAGGTCATCATGAACCCCATTGCCGAGTTTTCCTCCTCGGCCAAACACGTTGGGGGTGCCGACCTCAGTGGACGAATTCCCTGGGATCAGCTCGCGCCTTCGACATTGTTAGTGGATGGCAGAATTGACATCCAACTGGCCAGCGAGTATCTCTGCAACTTGCGTTTCAGTACTTCCACAGACGTGTCAGTTATTTGTATCGGCCGGCCCGAGTTGCCAAAAGAGCAGGCAGGCTTCGATAAGCTCTTCAACTATTTCTCGGATCGCAAGAGATACGGCGTGGTGGGCAAGCATCCGCTGGCGGCCGTCAAGGATACTTATCTTATTCCCATCGAGGCTGGGTCGACTAAGAAACCCGAGTTCATTGAACTCTTAGAGAACAATACTCTGGAGGATCCAACTCCAGAACGGGTTCTTCTCGTCGTTTTTGCTGTGAAAACTTCTGAATCGAGCCCTCCGTCAGTACAGCCTTCATCGCACCATCCAAGCCAAGAGCCCATGGCTTCTGCGAGTCCGGCGACACCTCAGCAACAACAATTCATGACTCCTGGGCCACGGCCTGTGTCTCAAATCACCCCAGCACCTTCGAACTTTGATGGAACGCCACTGGCACATTCCCCATATGGTCAGCAGCAGCACCAATTTCAACACCAGCATCCTCCACATGCCCCCCAATTTGCACCGTATCAGAGTCCAGCGCCACAAAATCAGGCCCCGGTCACGGGTCTTGCAGCTGCCGTCCAGGTACTGGGTACTCAGGCTAGCTCCCCAGCTATTCAACAGCTCTTACAACAGGCGCCGAACGCGGATGTCACCCAGCTGAGTGTCGTCCGTGATATCCTGTTGCGACGGCCGGAGACAGCCCTGAACTACGAAATCCTGATGCAGGAATTGGTCCAGGCTACGACGAATGGACATACTCTACAGCAGAATGCAAAGTAGATGGCTATAATACGACTGTATAGTAATCATCGGTTCTTTTTCTTAGGTTCGTTTTGGACATGGTGTCTGTGTTGTACTGCTGTTACTCTTACTGGGATGGGGAAAATGGGATATTGGGTGATCACGGGATATCTACATTTGTTTTCGCAACGAATTTTCAGCACAGCGATGGATATTTTCTTTACTCAATTCATATCTGAACTCTTGCAGACCAACTTATTCTTGTAGCTTTCTTTGCTTGTCAATGCCGTCCTATATACTCCATCCAGTATCCAAATATGAAACTCAGTTCGTGCTTTGCGCTTCCATACCACCATTACGTAGCACTAGCAACTTGCGGCTCAAGCAAGCAGACCAACTGTATTTGCAGAAGATGGCCCAGATTTGGATTTTCAAGACTAATACTTTATCCTATTAACACATATGACAATTCATAACGTCCTGATAGAAAGAATAACGCCTGCGCTATGCGAATCCAGCAGCAAAAGAAAAGAAGAGTAGTGAACAGCCACCATTATCACCACCGTCCACCACGCTTCTTGTAGCCGCCACCACCACCATACCGAGGTCCTCTACCACCACCCGAGCGGCCACCCCAGCCACCGTCCTCGTCGTCGTGATGGCGAACTGGTGGTGGTCTGCCCTTGAGCTCCTCGCTGAGTTTCTTAAACGTCTTGCGCATGTCCGAGTAACCCATGTGCATTTTACCGAAGAAATGATCCGCCAATCGACGATCGTTATCGAGACGACTCAGATATGCGCCGCAAACATCGCATACCTGCAGCTTCTGATGACCAGACGGGCCAGAGGTATCCTGCAGATTCTTCAATTCGCGCTCGCACGTTTCCTTCTGGTGTTTGGCTGTGCGGATCTTGTGCAATTCATTGTATGCCTGCGCAACGGCGCCGGTTTCGCCTAGGACGGAAATCTCAAGCAGACCGCCGTTGATCGTTTTGGTATAGTCAGAGATTTGTTTGAGCTATTAAAGGTCAGCAACTGGCTTTAGTCCGCTTGGCGAAGAAACTATCCTTACCAGGTTGTTTGTCTGTCGGATTTCGTCCGGGGTCTTTTCCAGCCGCCGCTGTGCGGAATCAATTCTCCGGTCACAATCATCAATGTATTTCTGCATGTCTCTCATGTAATCGAAGTCGAAGCCCCATTTCGCCTTCTCCGCCGCCGAAGCTGTCTCATACTCCGTCTTCAGACCTTCACTATGCACCTTAGGGCAAGGGCCAAGATCTTGCTTGGTATTGGTGAAGAGATCATGCGGGCATGTGCCGACGAGATATGAGCGACAGACTTTGGCATCGGTAATAGAAAGCTGAGCGTTGCGGGAGGGAGCACCAGTGCCCATGAGCTGGTCCGCTACGAGAAGATTTCTATTAGCTAGGGCTTGAGCTGCGTCATTTTTGTTAGAGCTAGCTTACCTCCCATGAGCTGCTCGAGCAGCTTTCTCTGTTCCGCCGCCATGATGCAATGACTCCGAGAAGAGGATGTTCGTGCGAAAAGAGTGGGGATACGTATATGAGAGCTGTTGCGATGAAAGACGATTATTCTGCGGAGTGGCGCTAAACGCGGTCGCGGCTGCGCTTACTATAAAGGTCATTGGCCCCTTTCGGTAAGCGTCCGAGCATTAGGTAGTCCAGATGTTCTACCCCATAGAACGTCAAAGCCATGGCCGAGTGACCTGAAGGAGGATTCCAATTTAATCCGATTACCAACAGCTTCTTTCAAGCCCGGTGCCAGCTATCTTCCTCCCTGAGCGCTGCCCGATATTACGTCGCGGGATCTAGACGCTAAATTGTTCTGTCTCCATCGGCTCGGAGAGCTACCACTCTACAACCCGTGCATGGCTTGATATTGGGTTGAGAGGTATTCTTACAATAGTCCTTGGAAACTTTCTCATTGGCAAGCATGACGGAATGATTGTCCCTTCTCTTTTTCCGCTCTTTCTTGTCGCGTTGTCCTCGCTCACCTACGCGGCATCCGACTACCATGAGAGCCTCACCTTACAACCATTGCCGCAGTCATCTTTATTGGCATCCTTCAATTTCCGAAGCAATGCTTCTCAGGCGTCCTTTGACGAGCGGAATTTTCGCCACTTTCCCCGTGCGCTAGGCCAGATATTGCAACATGCTCACACCAAGGAGTTACACCTGCGATTCACTACAGGCAGATGGGATGCTGAAAGCTGGGGGTCGCGCCCCTGGAATGGGGTTAAAGAAGGAAACACGGGTGTCGAATTGTGGGCATGGATCGATGCGGCAGATGATAAAGAGTGCGTACAATGTCATTTGGAACCCTGCGCCTTGGATGCATATGCTGACAAAGATCAAGAGCGTTTGCGAAATGGATTACGTTGACCCAGTCCCTGTCTGGTTTGTTCTGCGCATCGCTCAACTTCATCGATTCAACTCGGACTACCCGACCAGTTGCATCTTTTGCTCTCGCCGGAGACCATCCAGCATCGAGTAACCTACATCTTTTGCATGGCACGCTTCCGGGCGAGGTTGTCTGCACAGAGAACCTTACACCCTTTCTGAAACTTCTACCGTGCAAAGGCAAGGCCGGTGTTGCCAGTCTGCTTGATGGACATAAGTTGTTCGATGCGGCCTGGCAAAGTATGTCGGTTGATGTGCGTCCTGTGTGTTCTAGTCCCGATGATTGTCTGGTGCAAATCGAGCAAACCGTGGACATTGTGCTCGATCTTGAAAGATCAAAGCGGCCTCGAGGTGAGTCGAACGAATCTTGTCATCATTCATCTGAGTCATTAACAAGTGTTAGACAACCCAATTCCGCGACCAGTTCCGAATGATCAGCTTGCCTGCGATACATCGAAGCCATATCACTCAGATGACACCTGTTATCCTTTGGAGAAGATGTCCGAAGGCGGCTGGTCTCTAAGCGAAATCTTTGGGCGCACTGTCAGCGGCGTTTGCCCCTTAGGCGGTAGCCAAAGCTCCGAGGAAACTATCTGCCTGCGCGTACCCCATGAGCGAGGAGTTGCTGTCTCGGAAGGTGCGGTTGAGACTCGGAAGCCGGATGGCTTCACTCGGTGTTACACGCTACAGGGCTCCAGCGCATTTGATCTGGTCATGCCGGAGCAGGAAGCTACAACCCATGTTCCTTTAGATGAGCCTGTCCTGCGTGCGGAACGGACGATCGTTGGCCACGGGGTGGAACGGGGTGGTATGCGGATCATCTTCGATAATCCGTCCGATACGGACGCGGTAGACTTCATGTATTTTGAGACCCTCCCGTGGTTCTTGCGCCCGTATGTACACACGTTACAAGCGACAGTCACTGGACGTGATGGGATCCGTCGACAAGTTCCCACTTCACAGCTCATCACGGAGACTTTTTACCGCCCAGCAATAGACAGAGAACGCGGCACGCAGCTAGAGCTAGCTTTATCAGTTCCAGCCGCCTCTAGCGTGACTCTGACATATGACTTCGAGAAGGCCATCCTACGGTACACCGAGTACCCACCCGACGCCAATCGTGGTTTCAACGTTGCCCCTGCGGTGATCAAGCTCGGTGGACATGAAAACCCGATCTACATGCGCACAACTAGCCTTCTTTTGCCGCTGCCCACGCCGGACTTTAGCATGCCGTACAACGTGATCATCCTGACTAGCACAGTCATCGCTCTGGCGTTTGGCAGCATTTTCAACCTCTTGGTCCGTCGCTTCGTCTCCGCCGAAGAGGCTGCCGCACTCACATCACAGACATTAAAGGGTCGCCTGGCGGGCAAGATAGTGGCCATCCGGGATCGTATAAAAGGGAAGAGCGCAAAGGTTGAATAGTCATGTCACATATAGAATCAATAATGCACATACATACGTTATATGTTCTTCACTCTTTTCATGACACCTAACCCACGTATAGTTGCATTATAATACAAGATCTCAAGATACCACAAAAACTCCAGTAAACAAATTCGTAACATCAGATCAGCACGCCCCGCCATAACCCATTTAGCCAAACCTATTAATCAATCAGCACCCAACACCAATCCAAAGAAGAAACCTTGAAAGACTTACATATTCCCCAAAGTCTTCTTGGCCGTCTCCCACCCCGGCAAAGTATCCGAACCCCCCGGCTTTGTATTCATGAAACTATGATCCTCAGTCGCGCACGTCCCCTCCTGCTCCCCAAGTTCTCTATTCCTCCGATCCATATAATTCCTCTCCGCCATACTCTTCTGTTCTCTTAAACTCGAGAACTCGTCTGCAGATGACAGTGACGTCTTGATTTTGTCCTAACCAGACCTGTTAGCTCAGCTACGTCAATGTATCACCACATTGGGTTTTTGGAAGGAGGATACGATACGAGACATACAGAGATATGGCCCGTTCCTTCTCCACCGGTTCCACCCTTGAGGAATCCAGAGTCGCCCCAGCCTCGTCCGCCGCCGACGTTGTTGGCTGGTGTTGGCTCGACGCTGGCGCCGCCTCTTGTACCGCCGGAGGGGTGTTCATTCATATGGGTGTTCGCTCCGGACATTTTGCTGGTTGGTTTGGTTTGGTTTGGTTTGGTGGATCTGGGGTTTAGGTTTAGTATGTATGTATGTATGTATCTACATACTTCGGGGAGGGGATATATATAGTTCCCGCTTTGGAAGGTTAAGGGAGTATAGTCTGGTGTTTTGGGGCGCTTACCTATATGTTGAAGTTGAATTGAGACAATGTTTGCGTAGAATGATAACGAGAATTATCTATCGAGAAATAAACGTCTTTATACCTCGAGGATATGCCACATGGACGAGGTCCTTGGACGAAGAAAGAGAGCACAATGATCTCAGTGATATCATCATGACCGCACGCTGTGCTTCTCATTGGCCGCCACGGTGCTGAGTCAGCGGGAACTGGAGCGTTACCGGATTGGGTAGTTAGGGTATGCACCGTCTGGAGCTTGGAAGTATACTGGCCCTCGACTTGATATTACTGAAGCTGTGTGAGATGGCAATTTAGGCTACAATGAGAGTCGATGAGAAAAGCTCGTAATGGGTAAATCGATGCAAGTCTATAACGGACTCATTATGTATACGGCTGCAAAGCAACTGGTTGGTTGACGGTGATGATGTGATGTTGACAAGGACGATAACTCGGTGACTTTTTCTTACTGAGCTTGTCCAATACATCCGAGATCCTCAGTCTTAGCCACGATGTTGGATCCAGGGGGTGAATATTTCGTTGAAGACATACAGACATTCTATATCTCCTGAATCCAGGGTCAGGGCCAAACGGCTGTCCGATGCATCCAGAATATTCTTGATCCCCGAGATCCTGGAAGCTATATTCTACTGAGTTTTTGACTGCGGCACGATCCGCAATATCCACGGATATCCACAATCCATTGTTACGCGGGGGGCTTCGTCGTCCGTCAAGTCCTAAACCAGTTAGCGGACCACGTAAAAGGGGTTCTAACCTGAAGTCGGTCGTCCTTTGACTTCCGTCGTCAATGAATGCAGTCGACACAAGACTGCCGTCGATACGGGAATGCAGTCGATACGGGACTTGAGTCCAAAGGACTAGGTCTACTAAGTATATATACTTAGTAGTTAGAGAAGTATAAAAGAGTGAAGACTAGTTTTATCACTAAAGGTAACTCTATAGCAATAATGTTAAGATTAATTATAAAAAACTATAAGTTTTAGTTATACAAAAGTAGAGTCAGCTTGCCGGAGATGAGTGATTATAGATTGCTCTGGAATTATCCTGGATTACTCCGCCGTTCACAAATACTAGTACTAAGTCCATCACCTACAGAGATCTGCAGGATGTATGAGACATCATGATGCATATGTAGGACATAGCTTAGAAGGATCATAGGATGCAAAGAGCGTCTTTCATTATCCAATGTGGGCGGGAAATCTTTTTAGTAAAAGGGTAAACATGGTTTAGAAGTATAGCGACTAACAATAGTTCGGGGAATAATCCGCATGCAATAACAATAGTCCTCCAAAACATGATTAAAGAAAAGTATAGACTCGTGACACTGGACATCTAGTTGTTCTCGACTTGCTCCGCCCATGTAGCACCGCTTGCAGATATCGGCGATAGGACCGCATCGAGCTTGGCCGCAGTAGAATCAGTGTCATCCGTGCTCTCCTTTTTACTACCACCAGGCAGGGAAGGGAACTCGGCTTCATTATCGATGACTGGAGCTGGGGCGGGTTTCTGCCCGGTGGAGCTTGGCTCATTCGTTGCGCCTTCAGAGGGTGGAATGTCTGGTCGTGGCCCACGACCGCGTCCACGACCACCTCTGCCACCACGACCTCGGCCTCGAGGGCTGTTGTGGGGGTGATTGTTCGTCTCTTCATCCGGCTGCGAGTCTCCAAAGTCTCGTCGAGAGTATCCAGAGACACCGCCGTGCATTCCGCGTCGGTATCCACCTCTACCTCCGCGAGGGTTATAATCTTCCTCCTGCTTCTGCGAATCCCACTCCCTCCCGCCCAGAGCCTGAAGTTTTCGCTGTCGATTGCGCTCTCGTTCGTTATCCATCACACGGCGATGTTGGCGTTCCTGGCGTCGCTTCTCTTCGGCAACCTTCTCTCGTTCAAGGAAGGAGGCTTGGTCGGCTTCAGCACGAGCGTGGGCGGCAGCCTTGCGGGCAGCGTTCTCCTTCGCCGCGGCGATACGTTGAGAGAGTTCCTCCTCTGTGAGTTTTGGCTGATAATAACCATCAGTAAATAGACCCTCACTCAATGAGAAGATAGCTGGTATACCTTTTTGATCCCACCTGTAGCACTCCGATCGCCGCGCACCGCTGGCACGCGTTGACCATTAGCCTCGGCGGAGGGTTTGGAGTCTGAGGCTGCATCGTCCTTCTTTGCTTGTTCTGTCGCTTCAGCAGACACATCCTTGGCGGGCTCTCCATTATTCTTCTCGCTCTGGGCGGCATCATCAGCGGACTTTGTCCTTGCTCCATCACCCCGCCTTGAAGCGGAATTCTGCGATCCTTGTCTGCCACCGCGTCCCTTTCCTCTGCCACGTCCTCGCCTTTCGCCTCCACGCGACCGTGACGGGGTTTCGGTACGGGGCGGCGGGGTTTGGGTCTCTAACGATAGCGATGCGACGTTCTCTTCGAGGGCTTGAACTTCCGGCGGGACCTCTGGCGCCGCGGCCACAGGCACGATCTCATCGTCGAACAGGTCATCGGCGCCACGAGTCTGCGCAAATTCGTCCATGACGGGGGTATCGGCAACGGGGTCGGTCATATTTCAAGATTCAATCGTGAAACGTGGGTGTTGTAAATCGTAATATATCTTGCCGATATCGAGCGGATCTGAAGGAATGCTGCACGCGCCCCCCCGCGGCGCAAGCAATTAGGCCAATGAGAGTGATCCGTGGGAGCTCGGGGAGGTCAGAGAGAGATGGGATCAGCGATCACGATTGTTAGCGGCGAATTTAGTCGGATTGTCCTCGGTGAGTTTGGAGAAAATACGGTGTCTCGCCCCAAATGGCCGGTCTTGCGCAAATTTTTGTCAGTGTGTGCTTTGTATGAATGGGCTATGAAGCCATTAAGGACCGGACTTTTACCTGCCAGCCACTTTCTTTGGGTGGAACCTATGATGCGATCGCCCCCCAGTCCCAAGGCGGTCTGGGCTGGTGGACCGCCTGGGTTTGTGGAGGCTGACTTTGGCTGCCAGGGGCTGGCCTTTAGGTACAGCTGTGGTTCTTCAACAATACTTCGCCCTTGTGAGTGAATCCCACAGCCTCAAGTGTCGTTTTGTTTTGTTTTGTTTCTTTTTCTTTTTCTTCTTTTTTTCGGTATCCTCTTCAAAATTTTACTTTTTAGTCTTTTAGTTCCTAGTTGGTTAAATATTATATACATTTTCATTGATCGTCTCCCTCTTTTATAAGCATACAGTAATGTTCATGAAGTTGTCTGGTATCTAGATCATCTTGTATGTACTACAACCGTCTCACTACTACTACCATTCAATTGCAAAGAAGATATATATCCTAGTCTCAGCTACAAAGTTATATCCTGATCGAGTACCTTCCTTTTCTTGCTTACTTTGCCGTTTCTCTGTTAGCTTGTCGAATCTGAGACTATCTCATGCTCCGCCGATAGCAGCACATATAGAATGACGTCTTCATCTTGTTTGATAGTAGTTTCGCGCGAGTTTTGCAAAATGAGGTTTTATATCGTCTATGATAGGCGAATAAATAATCATCAAGGCACAAATGCTTTGTCTATGGAATGCACATATATTTACAACACTTCAATATTCTACACGCACTGCCACGCGTTCTCATCAGTGTAGTTCCCTGGCCCCTTGTATACATTCCGGCGAGGGTAGCGACAGTGCTTGCGGGTGTACTCCACGGCCGAGCCCGCGCCATCGGTGAACTTAGCACCACGAATCGTCTCCGGGGCGATGCCCTTCTCCACCCACTGAACCATCGCCATGAGAACGTTGTTCTCCGGGTTGGCATCGTTATAGGTCACGAGCTGGTTTCCAATGCCGTATGCGCCGTCACCTCCACTGCAATGCGCCATTCCACTGATCTGGAAGAAGCGGTAGAACTCATCCAGTTGGTCCGGAGACGTGTTCATGGTTTCCGCGACGCGCGCGTAGTACAGCTTGGAGTTCTCCGAGCTGATGAGCTGGTCCATGAGTCCGTGGTAGGTGAGGACTTTGCCGCCGGCCTTGCGGAATGCGGAGATGTCTGCGTCCCAGGTCTGCAGGTTGAATGGGTTCTGCTTCAGAGCGACGGCCGCGTCGCGCACGGTGAACTTCGTTGCGTCCCAGTTGGGGTTCTCGTAGACGACATAGCGGTACCAGTCGGTGCTGTACTTGAACGGCTGACCGTTGTACATCATCGACGAGGCCATCACCTCGGAGCCAGGCTGCATGCGGGGATAAAGCAAGGTGCCGTTCGCTCCATACAGCGGGGAGAAGATCTCGCGAACGGTGTGGGCTTGCTGGCCCGTTAGACACTGCGTGGTGTTTTGGCCAGGCTTGCAGATGATAGCCTCAAGGACGGGGTTGCAAAGACTGGGGTCTTCGATAATGCCGTCCTCTGCTCCGTCGATACCATCGCATTGACGCAGGATCTCCTTATGGGTGATGTTCCACAGGTCGGGGGATAGGTATGTGTCTGACCCGACTGGCCCCGTGATTGGGTAGAAGTGGGCACTCCATGACATGAGGTTGATCATGTTGAATGCCGGTGCGCCGGCCACAACACCGTCAAAGTCATTGGGGTATTGCTGAACGGATTTGAATCCCTGCCGACCACCGGTGGAGCAACCGAGGTAGTACGACTTCTTGAACCCCTCCTCGTAGAAGAGCTTGGTCAATTGCTTGCCAACCACGACACCGGTGTGCACGGAACGATGTACAAAGTCTTCGAGGACCTCGGGGTGGTGGTAGAAAGGCTCTCCAGATGTTCCGTTGTGGCCGCTGTTGGCGCCGACCGTGGCAAACCCTAGGCCGGAGGTGTACGCTAGATCATAGTACTGGATACCTGTAAGGCGTTAGTATGAAGGCGTGCCATCTCCCATCGTGGTGCCCGGTAGAACATACAGCCTGAAAGACCACCGTTGCCCGTACTCAGGAAGCGGCCAGTGTAGTTTCTGGGGAGCCACGCTTCGAGGGTGATTTCACTGCTGTTCGAGGTTGCAACAGCCATGGCAATGCGGCACACATCCTCGGATACTACTTGAGAAGTTGTGCCGCAACTGGTTGGATTATCTGGCAAAGAAACATTGGTGCCACCCGGCACGTAATTGACAAAATTCACCCGCACGTTAGGCAGGGTTATTTTCCTTGCAAAGTCTGTACACTTGTCTTGAAACGCATCTTGGCTTGCCAGAGCGGCAGAGCCCGCAGTAAGAAAGGGCAGAAGCCGGCGAAGGGAAGGCATACTGGGTGTGATTGTGGTTCACGGAGACATTTTTCTCTGCCATGAGCTAGGTGACTCCATATATATAGCTGTGTCGGACATCCCGGAGACTGCTGACAGTCCGGGGCATGTTTATTGATGTTTTAAGCCGTCGGTACGTAAAGATCGGACGATATCCCGTGCCATATTTAGGGCTTTTCCGAAGTTTTGCCGGAGGAATGTACCATGGATTAGGTTAAGATAATCGGTATGTCAGAAGCTTGGTCGTGACGCGACGGATTTGTCGACAAGGAAAAGCCGGGATGAGGGAGGGAATTTCCAGCAGCGCTGAGTGGACAGGTCGCCGTCACCTTCAAATGAGGTCTCCACATCCCAGAGATCGTCGCATGGGGTCCCCCACAGAATGCGGAGAATTTCCCTGGTCACCCCGCGCAGGACGTTCGCTTGCCTGAAGGACTTGAGTATCGGCAGTTAAACCATCTCGGAGCCACATGAATACAGTGATCGGGCACTCTTCTCGGCATCGAGGGAACTGGACCCTAAATCCTGGTGAAATCGACTCGGCATCTCATGCAGTACATGCAGGACCTGTTCTTTTTCGTGTCACAAAAGAAAACCTGCAATATGTTCTTGCTCCTTTTAACTCGTCGTTGTCCCAGAAGTTAATATATCTGAGATGGCTTAGGACCGTAGAGAGGCGATATTGCATACATGTAGGAGGTAAGTAGTAGGGTGGCCTAGGCTCGGTCGGATCAAACCTGCATCGATCGCTGCCGAAAACCGTCTGGTTGCCGAATCTTTTTACCGCAGTCCACCGTAGTATCGATTAAGTCTAGCTCTTATTGACAGTTTGCCTACTTAGTATAATAGAGTGTACTATAATGTATGGTGGAAGTTTAATCGACGCGACAAGTACTTAACAATGTTAACATATTATAGAGCTTGTATGAAATCGTCATTGGATGTGCCTAGATCCTCGTTCGAGTGATCGCTTCGATAGATGATAACAATAATAACAATGATATTCATTAAGTAATGCAAAATAAGTCCGTGCCACCGTGATCAACACTTGTAGCAGATTGCGCACGCGCATGGTACAAGCGCTTTTTGGAAACTGGCGCAAACTTAGGAACGCAGAAAAGCAAAGCTTAGATACTTGTATGAGTCATGTAGAATACGAGAGATATAGTGGAGTTTTTATTGACTTTGCCAGCATAACGGCCATGGATGCATCATAGTGTCCTCATGGCCATGAATTGGACTAAAAGTGGAACAATTAGTTGTGGGATATTAGCCATAGATGCCGGTACTTACAAGCACTAATAATAAGCAATGCTAAAGCAACTTTCACGTTGTGAGATGCTATGACACTCAGAAGAAGACCATAAAAGGTCCACGAGGAGTATGGGCTAAAAAGCGGCCTTAAAGCGGGGGAGTCTTTATAACGCGCCGATGTCTCATCGATCATCGCCTGTAAATTGGCTGCAGTTGCGGCTGCCTTGTCAAGTAAAGCTTGCGAGATTTGTACGCTGGTTTGTAGTTTCTCTTGTAGCCTTGACTGGAACTCGACAGTTTCAGCTTGCTGTAACTGCGCCTTGTGTATATCTTCGGCTCTCGACTGGAGTTCTTTCAATTCTGTATCGAAAGTTCGCAGACGCTTCTGAGAGTTAGGCCATTCCATTCAGTTTCAGGGCATTACCAACCTCGGATATACTCATTTCTTGCTCGGACAGGAGCCCGAATCTTCCAGAGAGCCATTCCTGGGACAGTCAACACTTATTGTTCATTTGAGGCGGGCTCACCTACTAATGAAGAATCGAATGCCTCAATATTATGAAGCAATAGAGCCATATCATCTTGCAATACGGACTCTAGTTTCGATCGAAGGTTAACGGCGAGCTCGTTGTGTGACATAGCATTCTGTTGATGTGCCAACGCAATTTGCTCATTTGCAGACAGCACTTCGTTCAAAAGATCTTGAAAAGTGTATTGCAGCTTGCTAACCTCGGAGGATACATTTTGAATATTCTACCACTCGTTAGTTATGTTGCAGAGAAGGGCACTCGTAAAATCACCTCATCTAGAGCTGTTGCCCCAGCCTGAGCCCTTCCGAGCACCGAGGTAATAGTATTGACAACCAAAACGGCCCTGGCTTCAATATTGTAAAAAACATTTTCAATCATAGTCTTGAAGTGCGAGCGAGTTTCTTCCATGTCGTGAACCAGCCTGGCATTCATATTTGCAATCTCACTGGCGAAAGCTCTTTGCTGTGAAGATTGAGCAGCAGCCGTCCGCAAGGCTTCTTGAAGGCCCTGATTGAGTTTGTTAGAGCCCTGGACTACTGACCTATGGAGGTCCAGAAGCTCTTCCTTTTCGTTTTCAATCCTTGCAGCTTGACATATTACGAAAGCGTTCTGCCTACTGTTGCTATAAGAAGTCCACCATTGAGGTCTTGACTCCAGCGACTTGAGGCAGGATTCCAACAACTGGACTGGAATTGGGTCCACACCGTTGACCAGAATTCCACTCCTTAGGGAGAACCCAAAGATTCCTTTCTTCTGTGGCGGTGGAATAGTGACCGGAAGACAGGCATTGGGGATATGGGTCCCGGCACCTTCAAGTTCGCAGATAGCGAGTCTTGCTGCATACAATGATCTAGTATGCTCTAACACTCTATAAGTCTCAGAGTCGACATTATGTGTTTTCTCCCTAACAGACTGGCAGGATGTGACAAGCCTGGAGGCTGCGATGCGATTGCAGGAAGGAGACGACCTCATTGACTCTAGCAGCTGTACTGCTTCCTTGAACACGACGTCGTGCTGTATATCTTTTGAGGTTATTAAGGAAGCCAAGTCCACTTCCTCAAATGAACTGTTCTTGTGTACTAAAAGATCTATGTTTGGCGGCTTGATTAGTATGATCCATTTCGTCCTTTTGCAGGTAACGTACCACTTGCTGAATTGTCTGAGCTGCAGAGAGCTGAGAAAAGCAGAGAGAATAGAAATAGCATGGACAGCATGTGTGTAAGAAATGCTATAGTTGGACGTGGGCCAGCCATCCTTTTCAATACTTTTTTCTGGGGCTTCGATACACTAAGTGTTAAGAGAAGACGGGTTGGCTGAAAGTAAAAATAGTTCTTTGTTCAACTCAACGAAATAGACGACATATATGTAAAGATGGTAGACTAAAGACTGAAGTAATATAGTAATTGGCGATACAAGGGATCAATCGTCCTGCAGACAGTGTGAGGTGTTTGCAGTATAGATGAGTTAGAAAGAGATATAAGTAAAGGGTAGGTATGATATGAGACGAGGTGGACGATAAGACATCTCAAAACGACAATACAGACACCACAGCGACTCCTTTACGAAGACTTATTACATTTTGGATCCAGATATCACTGAAAAGCGACAGTGAGCTTGAATCGAAATCCTGATCTATACAAAGGCATGATCACGTGCGTAACATGCGCTAACCAGATCGGGAGTGCAGGGTCTCCGGCCAAAATCAAAGTCGGCATCGGAGATCCAAAGTAGTTGTCTTCCAGCAACAAACCCCAATTGTCATCATGTCGCGTTCCTTAACACAGAACTGCTTTAAGCAGATTTCCCGGGGCCCTTTGAGGCAGGGCTCACTGCCAATTTATCTCGCACCTGCGTTCTCGCACCCTCAACGGACACAACCATTTTCTACCACCTCACCAACGCAATCTCGAGTCGGCGGCGCCCCGATCTCCGTACCCCCCGAAGTCTCCCTCAAATTCATCGACTTGCCTCAGACACAAGTGAGAGGATTAGCGAAGGACATTCCGAAGACTGCAATCGAAGTTAAAGGGCCTTTGGGTATGGCACGCTCTTATGTCACCTATAGTTGAGATGAACAGCTTGACTTATGAATCCGTCACAGGTGAATTGACTCTGAGCATTCCCCCATTCTTGGAAGTTGCACATGATGAAGGCCTTCGGAAAGCGACTCTCTCCGTCCAGGATTCCTCAATCGCGCATCAGCGTGCTATGTGGGGTACGTATATCACGTCAATTGTCATTCACTTGTGTGTTTCTAACCGTTTTACGCCCTAGGAACCACTCGGGCACATCTACAAAACTACATCCTAGGAGTGTCGGAAGGTCACGTTTGCATTCTCAGTCTGGTCGGTGTCGGTTACAGAGCTACTGTCGAATCAACGGCGACCACCGTCGAACCTGAATACCCCGGCCAGCAATTCGTCTCCCTCAAGGTTGGGTACTCCCACCCGATTGAGTTGGGTGTCCCCCAGGGTGTCAAAGCAAGTACTCCGCAGCCGACCCGTATTTTGCTGGAGGGCGTCAACAAGAACGTTGTGACGAAGTTTGCGGCCGAAATCAGAGAATGGCGCAAGCCAGAACCATACAAGGGCAAGGGTATTTTCATCAACGGAGAGACAATCAAATTGAAGGCCAAGAAAATTCGGTAGACTTGGTGTCTCTGGTTCTGGGAAGAGGAACAGTGGTTATGTTTTACTGTACATGTATATCCAAGCATATTTGGTTTCTGTTCGCGATTGGTATCTATCTTATGTACTTCTAGACGCATCTAGCGTGAGCAATTTGACAAAGTTCGTTGCAAGTTGTTTTTATCATCACAGCTTCAGGACAATCTTCACAGCATCAATGACCTGGTCTTGGAGGGCCTTGGGTGCAGCGACAACTCCCTTGTTGGCAGCCAAGGTCCGGCCCTTGCTGAAATCCAATCGCTGACCGTAGATGTCCGTTACTTGGCCGCCAGCCTCACGCACGATGAGGTCCCCAGCGGCATGATCCCAGATCTTCTCTTGGTAGTCCTTCTTCACAGGCAGACGTAGATAGATATCACCGGCACCTCTGGCAATAGAGCAGTACTTGGCCTGAGAATCCAGTCGCACGCTGGGGGCGGTAATGCCAAGGCGCTGGGCAACAGCAGCATTGTCGCCCTGAGCCGAGTGGGCAGCCTCAACTCCTTCACAGAAGACGGCCTGCGCAATGTCTGGCACTGGACGCATGGAGATAGACTTGCTCTCAGCGAGAGCGCCGTTCTTCAGAGGCCGGCTGATGGAACCGGCGCCCTTGATAGCTGAGAAAAGGACTCCGTTACCAGCACCGCTGTTCTGGTCAACACCGATTGATGCAGACATAGTATCGGAGTCATTGACTGGTAGGTTGGGGCAGCCAATTGCTCCTACCTTGACGTCACCATCCTCAATCAAGCCGAGACAGACGGCATACTGGCCACCACGCAGGAATCCCTTGGTACCGTCGATGGGGTCCAAAGCCCAGATGCGACCCTTCGCGCCTCCCGCGCTCTTGCCCTGATCGATAATGTCCAGCATTGCTTCTTCACTTGGCAAGGGGCCACCAAGGATCTCATCGCTTTGGCTGTCCTCCAGCTTGATATCCTTAACCAGTCTCCAGATTTCGGCGCTCAGTCCTTTATCCTCACGGAGGGAACTGGCCTCTTCTTCGGCGACGATCTCATCGTTGGGGAAGTTCTTGCGGATAGCCTGGATGATCAGAGCCTGGGCACCAAAGTCACCGATCGTCACGGGTGACTTGTCATCTTTCGATACGGTACCCTTTGCCTTTTCGTTGAAGACCTTCTGAGTGAGAAGGGTAGCTCGCTGGACCGCGAGTTCGGCAATGTAGCGTTCCTGTTGGTAAGACATAGTTGTGACTTGAGTATTTGAGTGTGTAGGAGTAAGTAAGTGGGGGAAGAAGGAGCTGAGACGGTGGCGGCTTTTTAGGACGATGCTGGCACCCAGTAGGAGAGTGGAGCAGAGGACTAGACGGGAGAACAACCGTCGCGGTTGGCGAATTGAGAGACGGCCTGCCGATTTCGCAGACCGGTGACCCATTGATTAGGGGGCAGAAGTACGTAAGATGCTGCCCAGCAGCAATTGGAGGGAATTGGTCCTGTACTATTCTTGAATCCCGATAGCTGCTGCTGTGTATTGGACCGAGTGGGATGTAGCATGTGTAGAAGTCTATCGGCCAATCCGGCAGTTACCCCAACTTGTTTCACATTTTGCTGATACTTCCAGCGCCCCAGGCAACTAGGCATCCCAATGTTCCCCCGCCCTAGACCACATTAGGCTATGGCCGAGGGGCAGTGGGCAGTCACGAGATTGGTCATTACTACACAGTATCGCACGTCCCATGACGTCGAGGCAGGGACAAACAATCCTCCTCCTTTTTGTGTGTTTCTGCAAGGGCCAAAAGGCTATAACTGGCCTCAACTACTGTCGCTTTGAACCCGTCAAGTCACCGTGCGTCGGACTGAATCACTCGCGCCAAGACGAAGCGATAGCCTCCTCAACGGGTCTATTAACACGTCACTGTTCGGCTATTACTACCTACTCGTCTGGCCACTCCAACGTATCGCTAGACAACTTTCCGCTTCGGGCATTGAGCTTATCGCGGGGTGATAACTGTGGAATTGATCAGGCGAAAGGCGTTTTGCTTTGTTAGGCTGCACGTTCTTTTACACGGGCTGGATCTACGGGTCAGGTGGTGATTGACTATTTGAGTCTTCGTCCATCGTGTGGCTGCTATCAGTCTTGGGTATTTGTTTCAGAGAGTAATTAAACAAATTCTGGGAACTGCGACTTGAATTCAATTCATCATGTTCCATTCGTCGGTAAGTCCAGCCTGTGGGCATGTCTGTTCTAGGGACAACCTCTAGTTAGAGTATGTCTATTTGGACATATGATGTTAACATTGCGGAGCTAACACTGCTATATAGAAGCCATATTCGGCTGTATCGGTGCAGATTGAGGTTCTAACTAGCGAACAATATGATGTTGAAGACTCCAGCGGTATCGTTGATCTCATTGAAGCTGTAGTGATACAGGGCAGTGGCCCGACCGAAGCAAGTCGCGCCCTGCGTAAGAAGCTGTCAGTTATGTGCCCAACCAGTCTCGCATAGGCCCGTCCCTAATTGGCTTCTAGTAAATATGGAAACTTGCACCGCCAACTAAGAGCTCTCACTATACTCGATTTCCTGATCCAAAATGCCGGAGACCGCTTTTTACGGGAATTTGCAGACGAACCTCTACTGGAACGTTTGCGTATCGCCGCTACGGACCCCGTTTCTGATCCTCTGGTCAAAGAAAAATGCAAGCAGCTCTTCGGACAATGGGCTGTATCGTACAAGAACACACCCGGCATGGAACGGGTGACAGCCCTCTACAGGCAATTACCGAAACGCAAACAGCCGGCCAGTCAGGCTAAAGCAAGGTGCTCCGGGATTCTGGCACTTCTGATGAACCTCCAATGGGCCACACCGTATCTATCTCTGCGGGAAATGGCCCGGCTACAGTCCTAAGTGGCCCTAAACACAAGCACACTTCCAGCAGATCACTCAGGAAGGAGAAGAAAGAGAAGAAAGTTCGAGACAAGACCTTCAATCTGGAAAAGGAGAAGCCAGAAATGTTACAGACTCTCGCCTCTGCATCCGTCGCCAGCACGAATCTCCTAAACGCATTAAAACTAGTCAACCGAGAAACACATCGAGTGAGCGAAGATGCAGAGGTCCTCAACCGGTTTGAAACATGCAAGCAGCTCAGGCGCCAGATTCTTCGTTACATCCAACACGTAGAAAGCGAGGAATACCTGGGCAGTCTCATACATGCCAATGAGGAACTCGTTACCGCCCTTATGGCGTTTGAAGTCCTAGACAAAAGCGTGGATTACGATAGTGATAGCGATCAGGATGTCCTTGAGTCTGGCTGGAGCCCTGACCGCGACGACCGTGATCTTCAAGAGTCATTCGCGGGGCTTGTTGTCAACCCCCCCAGGCCACCTCGGCCTGCTCGGCCGATGAGCATATCGATCCCCTCGTCGTCCAAGCAGCGCGTGTATAACAGTGATAGTGAGTCCGACAGCGAAGAAGACGATGATGAGGACAATCCATTCGGTGATCGCAATGCCATTCGTACTCCAAACAAGGAGATATCCCAACCTACCTGGTGAGCAAGTTCGTTCCCTCCTGACTTTCCCCACTAATCTCTTCTAGGAAAGAGGTTTAGACCCGACACTGCATGACTAAATACCATTCTTCTTTGTCCTTTTTCTCTTTCTTTCAAATTCTGATTGCAGACCTTTGCATTACATTTTAACGGAGTTACGTGCCCGATGATAATGCTCTATAGGTTGATCACGACGCTGCTACTAGCCTGGAGTATGATTTATGACAGTTAGTGGTGATAATTATTATATATTTTCTCTATTTAATCCTTCTGTACGCTTTGACATGTACGACTAAGCATTAGGAGTATTACTATACCAATAAAGTGCTATTTTCTCAAGACAAACCCCTTCATGGCCATAATTGTAAAGTCACTACCATAAAGAGGCAATATATCCGAACGGCCCCGAGGAACGGTTTTAACCCGCATTCTGACTTCAACATACTAGTTACCGAAGCACTATGACTAACCCCCAGCCCCCTCACTGAGGTGGTACCGCCTCCTCAAGGGACCTATTTATTGTTACCAAACACTCATGTGGAATTGACCACAAGGCTAGTCGGTGAATCCCAACCGAGTACTAGAATGTCTCCAACTCAGTCTGCCTCTAGCCTCGCAGCTCATCCCCAAGATGCTCGGGGAAGCTCAGTGTCGGAGCAAACACCGCTCCTTGCGGAACAAGGTCTCAATGCGACCACGGAATCTCAGGAGCGCCAAGACCATCTAGTACAGGAACACACTACAAAAGAAGTGATCCTGATTATGGGAAGTGTATGGGTGGGGGTTTTTTGGCTGCTTTAGGTATGCCTTGACAGTCGTATGTGGTAGAGGACGGAAAATAGCTGACTCTACTAGACACGACTGTTGTTGCCACTTTAACTGGTCCTATTTCGTCCTCATTCCAATCATTCTCGCTCCTCTCATGGTTGGCAACCGGGTATCTCATTGCTAATGCCGCCTCCCAACCGCTGAGCGGACGGTTAACTGACATCTTCTCTCGACGTACCGGCCTGGTATTCTCCAATGTCTTCTTCGCAGTTGGTAACTTGGTATGCGGCTTGGCCAAAAGTGAGGGCGTCATTGTGTTAGGCCGTATTATTGCAGGGATTGGTGGAGGTGGTATCCTTACGATTTCGGTGTTTGTCACCTCCGACTTGGTGCCTCTTAGGAAACGAGGGGTCTGGCAAGGTTTTGGCAACATCTGCTACGGAGCCGGAGGTGGATTGGGCGGCGTGTTCGGGGGATGGATCAACGACACGCTGGGATGGCGATGGGCTTTCTTAATTCAGGTCCCGTTTGTTGTAGTCTCAGGCATTCTCGTTGCAGCCAAGTTGGATCTACCTGTCAAGGAATCAGGAAAGGCTAAATTGAAGCGAGTTGATTTCCTTGGAGCGATCACGCTGGTCATCGCCCTCGTTCTCTTCCTTCTCGGGCTCAATACTGGTGGAAATCAGCTTCCATGGACACATCCACTGGTTCTAACAGCATTTCCTCTCTCCGCCATGTTCTTGATACTTTTCGTTTACATCGAAGCGAATATCGCGTCCGAGCCTGTGATTCCCGTTCGATTGCTTCTCAACCGGACCGTCTTTTCTGCCTGCCTTACGAACTGGTTAGATGTCATGGCAGTGTACGGGCTCATTTTTTACTTGCCACTCTTGTTCCAAGTCCAGGGCTCTTCAGCGACCGGCGCTGGCATAAAATTGATCCCCCAGGCAATTGGAACGTCGCTCGGCTCGTTGGGGGCTGGGATACTCATGCGTGCAAGTGGGAGGTATAGGCTGTACAGCATGGTATCCGTGTCCCTCCTCATTGTCTCCAATGCTCTCATCTGTACTTTGACCCTCGATTCTCCTTCTTGGCAGCCTTTCATCTACTTCCTTCTTATGGGAGTTGCCTTTGGCGCCATTCTCACCATCACACTTGTGGCACTTGTTTCTGCCGTGGATCATGAACATCATGCTGTGGTCACATCGGCGTCCTACGCTTTTCGCAGTACAGGAAGCACAATTGGTATCACCGTCGCTTCTGCGGTATTCCAGAACATGCTGAAGTCCGGGCTTTGGTCACGGTTTGGTGACCGGGAGGATGCGAAGGAAATGATCCCACGAATCAGGGACAGTCTGGATGAACTTCGGAAACTCCCTGCTGACTGGAAGCCTGGGGTATTGGCGACGTACATGGAGTCCTTACGGGCTGTGTTCCTTACTCTACTTGGACTCACTATCTTAGGGGCATTGGCCAGTCTGGGTATGCGCGAACACAAATTGCATACGAACCTGGCACGTGCCGAATTATCGGATGCAGATGCCGACACAGAATAAAGAGGATGGTATAGATGTATAGGGTGGATCATTTGGGTTATCACCGTATAACCCGAGTATGGATAGAAAGTATGTACATACTATATGCAACGGAAGAGAGTTGCTTTATATATGAGATCTCTTGATTGAGTTATCACTCGGACGCTAAGCCTAAACTTAACTATGATCACTGCCGCTGCTACTTTACCTACTACTGTGCTCTATCAGTATGTCTCGCAAAAAGCCACTTGGTGCTGTCAGAGCGACATCATGGATCCCATTGAATGCCGGGAGCCAATTAGAACCCAGCGAGTCCATGGACAACCTCAGGCCGGTGATGCAGCACACCGCCTTCCACCAATCAACTTCGATGCCTTGCAAACGAGGCCGCCGCCTGTAGCCGTTCGTCAACTGATCGGATTCCATGACACTGTCAGCTCACTTTCCGGCTCAACCAACTCTCGGTTTCCGATTTCCAAGGGAAAGGGACGGATTAGGTAGTAGTCTTTCATCTTGCGGATTCTAATCTCCCCCCACCACTGACATTAACCCTAGTCCTGCCGAGCGGAAGCCAAGTTACATCCTAACTGGTGGCGTTGAGGTCCCATCGGCGCAGAAGGACGTGGCGGCGCCCACTCGAAGAAGCGGAGCATCAAAAGACAAACTTGACGTTCGAGTTTCGCGCCCAAGTTCCGTCCTTTATACCTTGACCAACTATATAACCACACCGCTTTTCGATCTTTCCTTTGATCAGACCACCCATCCTGTAACACGTTTCGCACCAAAACCGGACACTTGCATGGATCTCGCGCTACTTTTCGTCGTTGGAGGAGTGGTTGGGCGCAAGTGAAGTGATCCCATTTTTATATTACACGGCGGGTCGACTGAGCGAAACTCTGGCCAACTCTAATGCTTTTTTTTCCCTTCCAATTCTCTATCGTCGAATTGCATACACCAAGACCGTGGTTTTCCCAAATATCGCCAATCAAGCCTATATCTTCAGCATACTCCTACTCTTGACGATACACACCTCTATCCTCACAACCATCGGCTCGACTGATTGAAAATATCGATACCGATACTCCTGAAACTTACTTTACTTCGATTTATTTTCTGCTATGACAGTTGACCACCGAGCAGATCCCTCATTCAGTGCTGTCTCAAGTGCTGTCGCAAACACTCCGTGGCCGACTGAAATGGAGGTTGATGGAGGCGGGGAAAAAGTAGTTGAGAACAAAGAGCGTTCTACCATCACATCGCACGAACTGCCGAATAACGATGTTGTCTCGCCGGCACGCCGCCGGAAACACTTGCTATTGTCTACAGAAAGCGCCTTCGTCGACAATGTGCTCTCGTCCCTCGTTCAACATCCTGACATCGAGTTACGACTGATCACGGACGAGCCGTCCGCGCTTCTCTCTGGTGCGAACAAGGTTCCCCACTACATGGACACAGTAGATAGTCAGACTTTTGAGAGAAAAACAGGTGCTCGGAGGTGGCTGAAGGCAAAGGCTGCAGACCTCTGCGAATGGGCGGATATGCTACTTGTTGCTCCCATAGACGCTGGAACGTTGGGATCGATGCTATATGGCCTGACCAACACATTGACACTTGCGCTTCTCCGCGGCTGGATATCCTCAAAACCTGTCGTCCTAATACCGGGCATGACTGTATCAGAATGGCACCACCCATTAAATGCTAGACAGCTTAAGGAGGTAGACCAACATTGGCCTTGGGTTAGTGTGATATCGCCTGTCCTGATGAAATCCACCAATCCCGAGGAGCTTGTCCAGCTTCCTTGGGGTGGCTTAGAGGAGCTTCATGAAACTATTGAAAAAACCCTAGGCTTGTCTTTTGGTCAATCTTCAACAGAGCCTAATCAGTCCGAAGTTCTGAAAGTTCCGTCGGGAGAGAAATCATCGCTAAATACGGCTGCTACGACTTCACGGCACCCCCCTCATCGGACCGATAAGGGCTCGCGGTCGTTACCAATGGAACTGTGGTTGGATATTTTCGAGGACAACTTGCGAGATTGGGAGATCGCAAAAGCAGTCGGTATTCCAACAAATCTTCCTGTTCCTAAGGAATGGCAAAGCCACCTTCTTAAGATGTCGGCCCCTGCCTCCCTCGAATATACAATTCTCCGGGGCTCCTTCGCAGCAATCAAGAAACGCATTGACAGCTTGCCACGGTGGAAACCGATCTCCGATCTTGCCTGTCACCTGATCTTCAAATTCTCACGAACCGATATTCTTTCATACCTAACGGAGAACCACCTTGATCTTCTATGGACAACCTCTCGCCTCACTAACCTGCCGTACCGTGCATCTGCCATTTACGGAAACCCCAACATCCTAACTTGGTGGCGTGATGCCCCGGCGCTTCCTACCAAGGAGTACATCGCCGATGCAATGGATGGTGCCTCTCGTGCTGGCTTCGTCAATGTCCTCGAATGGTGGCGTACATCCGGCCTCGAACTACGGTACACTGAGCGAGCACTCGAGTCAGCCAGCGCGGAAGGCCGTGTGGCCGTTCTAGACTGGTGGAAAAAGGCCTCCGCCAACGCACCCCCATCGGATCCCATCCCCCTCAAAGTCGGCAAATCCGTCCTCCTAGCAGCGCAATCCGGCCGCACAGCTTCCCTCGCCTGGTGGGACGCCTCAGGCATAGCTTACAGCCACGCCGAATCAGTGGCCCGCATCGCCAGCACACACGGCCACGTCCACGTACTCGATTTCTGGTATCGACTTAAAGGCGCCAAGATGATATTCGACTCGCAGGTCCTCGTCGGACCGACAAAGAACGGACACGACAACGTCCTCGAATGGTGGCGACAGAGCGGCCTCCGCGTCGAGTTCAAGACGTGCGATATCGAAGAGGCCCTCGAAGACGCAGACCCCGTGTCCGGTGCCGAAGAAAGGGTTCGGCGGTGGTGGGCTCGCAATGGGCTCAACCTTGGCGTCGGGACGAGCGAATGGATGAAAACGAAGGTGTTGTGATTGTACTTCTTAGGCTCCCCCCTTTTTTTCTCCTTCCGTTTGTATAATGACTTGATCGGATTCCTATTGTTAGAAATACCCCCTATTTGGCTTTACGGATTACGGAGCATAACTGGTTACGCACTTGATTATATAGGTATAGCCTATAAAATAAATTGAAACTGTCTATAATGGCTGGAGTTTTCATTCTCTGGCCTTGTTACCTGCTAAATATCAAGTTCATGCGTAATGTTCTCGTGATGACTATATTTAGAAACAGTCAAGGCATGTAGAAACTCTTTATGTACTTTAGCAGAATATGGTCTTTTATCCATGCTATCACAGAATTGTGGTACATTACATTAGACATTATCTAGTATGCTTCGATATGTGTAGGGAGTGTATATACTACGATCTTAATTAGACAGGGCTGACTTATGTTAACATGTCCACAAGCCTGGCTAAGGTGAAAAGACATATGAAGAAAACGTAGAAGAGAAAATCTTTCCCCTGGATATATCATCAATATAGGTACTTGTATCATGTTGCCTAGACGTCTGTGCACTACAAAGCTTAGAAATGAACACGATAGAATCAATAGGGTCAAACACAGGAATGGGTGTTCTTCATGTTCACTTCTGGGTTAGAGATCAACTAATAGTCTGGGTTCCGTTGAGGCAGGTCTTCCCAGACCGTTTTCTTCACCGGCGAATGCTTCACCGGCGAATGCTTCACTAGGTCGGCTGCGAAGCCCAGAGTCTCCTCAAGTACCGTCCGAAAATCTTCATTCTCCAGCAGTTTTTCAAGATGTTCATGGGAAATGTGCACAAGGATATCGCGGAGGCCTCTGTCGTCCTTGTGGGTACGCTGGTATGCCTCTGAGATGGCTGTAGGATAGTCGTCCATGTTCCAGCATGTCCTAGCGATGGTTTCAAACTTGTCTTTGGCCTTCTGCTTGAGCAGTGGAACCCCAAATTTGTCGGCAACTTGATATACATTGATATTGAATAGCATGGGTGAAACACGGCCAAGATTGCTACCGCTACTGTCGTACTCGAATCCGTACATGAAATGGATCATGGCCTCTATAGTGCGCGGATCATCGCTCTTGAGTTGGACCGTGTTGTCGACTGATTCCTATGTCTAGTATTAGTATATGTCCACTTAGCGATGCGTCCATAGCTCCTTACTGTCCAGTTTCCCTTGAACAAGCGGGAGAAATACGCAGACTGCCCACAGACAACCAGTCGATGGACTTTGAATTCTTGATCTGCTGTGCATATAGTCAGGTCGGAGAAGTCGGACGAGATGAAGAACCTATGCACTCTTTAGCTTGTGGTCACCAAGAGCAAGGTAAAAAAAAAGACAGACTTCTTGATACTAGCAGATAAATCACCAACTTCTTGAACAGAGCTCTCTTCGTGATAAATATTGACCTCCTTCTGTTCAATACTCGCCGACCGTGAAGCCATTTCTGCTTGTGGATCGCCCGCCTGATAATCAGGGGGTAATTGAGGCCTCTTGTTGAAACCTTTCTTATGGGGCCTGAGATAGCCTGGGGGAGTGATCAAAGAAGCAAAGGAGTAAGCTTTCTGTTGAAGTGAGTATAAGTAGGCTGCGCAGTCAACATATTGTTATGTATTGGATTAGCGAGCACATTCACTGCAGCCTCGTTAGGTAGCCTTGCGTTTAGATCCAAATGGTGAATCGCTGCCCGTCTTACCCCGCCATGCTTGCGGCTGTCTGGGGCTATGATAACCTGGTCTTACAGGAGGGGGGGGGGGGGGGTGTCTAAAAGTATGTGACCCCCAATGTATGGACAGAGGTGGTTTTTGGAGTAGAACTCATGTTTATTGGAGTGTTGTAGCGCTTGGATGTAGTCGTCATTGGGGAGCTTGGAGATTCTGTTGGTGGAGGGTATAGGGATGTCATCTTTCCGTGGAGTGTAGGGATAGAAGGCTACGATAGGCTCCCGAGGTGCTTTATGGTGGCAAGGCCTTATTTAGTTGACTATGAGCTGTGAGTTGAAGTGCTCTATTATGATGGTAGTAGTTGGATGGCTGTGATGTTTGGAATGAGGATTACAGAGCCTGGGTCGAGAGTGAGCCCTGAGGTGGTCACCTGCCTTTTGGAAGACTCACGAAACAACAAAGATGTTCACATGACTTACAGATTAGAATCTGGGTGCAAGAATAGGAGCAGCAGAGTGGTTAATAATTAAGAAATATGCAATTTGGAATATAGTACGTAGCATGTCACTAGCAAATAGGAGTATGTAGACAATAGCTTTCATGAGAAGCTCCACTTCGGAGGCACTAGAAGCATCTTAGATCTCTGGAAGTCATTTCAGAATCTACGTAATACTCGCTAGTCTTAGGAAAGGAGAGGAAGCAGATTGAGGAAAAGGAGTAACTGATCCATATATCCGTTAAGTGTTTACATTGCAGTCTCTATGTGGCCACCTCAGGCTATAGAAAGAATTCGGTACGATTCAATACGGTATCCATGCGGTGGTTGAAGTCGGCTATACGCGCCTCATACAAAGATCGGTATCAAAATGACACCAGAATTGTCGCCGTAGGAAATCGAATCAATCGATCGTGAGCGACCCCTGATATGCAGGATTGAATCAAGACAAACCGTAGGAAAGTCCCCGACTACACCAGGCAGTGGATAGTAGTCGATACCGATCCCCTTAACGGAATTAGTAGCTAAGTTAGCTCCTCTCGGGATCCCCACAATTTGATAATAAGGACAATGGGTCAGCTAAGCGCCGAGACTAGCTATACTATCGATCCATATCAACCCAAGGGCGAAAGGGGAGTTAATGTCGCCAATAAATTGAATATTCTGACATCTCATTTCACAGCGGTCCGATACCTCATTCGACTAAGTAATACAAGGACTCAAGGGACTCCCCCGACGGACAGGAAATTAATCATTTGAAACAACATGTCTTTGACGAACATCTGACTCGTAATCTGGCCGGGTCTCTTCGGGAGAACGTTGGGCTTGATTAGCTCCAACACAGCCACTCTAAAATAGATTTATGATCGACAGCAGAGAACTGCAGGACTAGAACAATGACCGCAAATGAGACGGAGGGGTTAAATCGCGACCCGAGTGGGTCAGTCGTAGTCCTCTATCGTGGAGATGATGGAGTCGGCAAATGAAGCAGCAGAAAGGAGAAGCGAACGTCTGCCCCAGTTTGGATCACAGCTGGACCAGACCAAAAGGAAAAAGGGGAGGGGAAAATGATAAGGGAAAAGGAACCATGACCACGGACTCCCGTGCAGCATCACGTGGGGGGTGTCCATCACAGTTGCTTTATTAGTTGATTCCTGACGCTGGTTAGTCCATCTCTTATTTCTCAGCTATTTCCCTTCTCCTCTCCTCTTTTTCCAAATCCTTCTCATCATTTGAGTCTTCCTCATAATCCTACATCCCCTTCCAAGGTCCCTTCACTGACTGTTCCGCCATTCCCGTGCGTGCAGTTATACAGTTGTCCGTCTTACTTCTATATAACTTTATTATCACCCGATCAAGGTTGGAATCGTCACAATGGGTGGAGTTCGTACGTTCAAGGAGTGCACAATTCTGAACATGACTTTGTTAAACTAACTGGGTTGCAAAGCACTGAATACCTTCAAACAGATTAAGGAGAGCCTTAAGTCTATCTTCAAGAGAAAGAAGAAGGGCGATAAGAAGAACGCTCAGGCTGCGGAGCAAAAACCAGAAGATACCACTGCCGCTAGTGCTTCACCAGCTACTGGTGAAGCTACCACCGAAGCAACCACCACCCATGAGGCTCCGGCCGCGGAATCCCAGGGTATGTCATATCGTATAGACCCTATCACGCCGTTCCGTAATAGAAGGCTAATGATACAGATGCAGCTCCTACAGCAACGGGCCCGGCACAATCGACGCCTGGCATCTCTCCGGGTACCTCGATACCAGAGCAGCTTCATGATGAGCATGACGCACTTGCTCCGACACCCTTGCCTCAAATCCCACCCATAGAGACAACGGAATCTGCCGCTCCTGCAGAGACCCCCGCCGCCCAGCCGGCAGCTGCAGCTCCTACTGAGCCCGCCAAACGTGAGTTGGTATGATGCGACATTAGCCAGATCATGCTGACCATCATATACAGCTGAAGCTAAATAAGCCCCTTGCTTTTCAATTCTGTTTCAGTCTTGCTCCGTTTCGCCCCTCATACCCCAGCATTATTTGTGTTTTTGGTCCTGTACCCATGCTTGTCGGCCGTGTCACTCGTATAATACCCCCGGTTTCTTCCTCAGCCCGTGATTTCACACTGAAGAGTGTTTGTAATACAGGCCATGCGCCGATCATCATTATCCTTCGTGTTAGTATTTGAACCAAACTGCGGCTTCATGGTGACTTGGTGTTAAATGGAATAAGAAAAAACCATTCATCTCGTGTTCAACGCCCGAATCAGATAAGGCTATTGTGAGCTACAGCAAAGACCATTGGGACGCGCATCTCTGGGAATATATTAATCACTTTCCTGCGATGAAGCATCGTCCCCTTCAATAGCGGGTGTGTCCTGGCCTTGTCCCGAGGCTGCCACTGCCGCTTTAATTTCTCTTGCCTTCTGTCTCCGCTTGATCTTCCTCTCCCGGTTTTTGCGATTCCGTTTCTCAGCGTCCGTTTCCTTGGCCCGCTCCGCCACTGCCAGACGCTTGCGAAGCTGGAGCCGTCGCTTTTTGCCCGGCTTCTTTCGAGACTTGGGGTCTCTGATCTGTGGCTCGGCGATGAAAACAGCGGTAGCAGTATCCTCTCGGGGTAATTTCGTTTGATGCCGTTTCCAATGAATCACACGCCACGGTAAGTGACACCCAGGCTGAAATATCCATAGTTAGCCCAAGCGTCAACCAATTGCCACTTATAGCGCATCGCACTAAATTGTGTAAGATTAATAACCTACCCAAGGAACCTTCGCCCATTCTCCCATTTGCTCTCCACTAACAGCGACCTCCTCAAATTGTTTCCTCCTCAGTGCAAGCTTCGGATCATCCTCATTCGACCCAGATAGCAACCCCGGCGCAGAAAAGTAATACTCCCATCCGCGAAACGGCTTCACGAACCCCCCATCATCAGGACCCCTAGCTCCGGGCGTCGGAGACCGTAATCGAATTCGCAACTTCTGCGTCCCTGCCGCCTCGACGTCATTCTTCTTTTCCTCTGTAGAACCTGTAGCAGCGGAACCTGCATCTCGCGTAGCAGTAGCAGTAGAGTCCCGAGCCGGCGCGCTGAAAAGTCGGAATTCAAATTCTTGCTCTTCCTCCTCCTCCTCCTTTGCATTGGTGGCTTGGGTATCTGTTTGTTCCGGTTGTTGTTCGGGCTGAATTAAGGAATCAAGGTTCAACAATTCACCTAGTCGCTCATACCCACTGGCAAGCGTATCTTCAGGTTGAGGCGAGGGAGACCGTGATGAGGACGGGGAGAGAATTTCATTGCGACGAACGCTGGTTCGATACACTTATGTTAGCTGGTAGTTCGTTGCCGGTTGAGTGTAGGTTTCAGCTCCTTGGGAATCAAAGACAGAGCCTGGACGTACCGTTTCGCGTTCGGCAAGTCGAACATCTCGGCGATGTATGTGTATCGATTAGTCGCAGTCGCTAGATTGAGGTCTTTGTTTCAGGAAATTTGGTGGTAGCTTGGATTGGGGCTTTGGTGAATGAGTAGTAGTCGAGGTGCTTTTGAGAAAATTGGATGAGATTGGAAAATGGCGGCGGAGGGGTTGTTTCCACGGAGTTTGTGCTGGTGCGGCCACGGCCCGGAGGTTCCACTCCTCTAATTACGGAACTATATCAATCTACTGTGTGTAAAGACTGGTGCTTTCTTTATTTTAGGAATGATGTGTGGGACTTTGTATTTGTTTGTGGGAGGTGTAGCCTTAGTAGGAGTGTTTGCGCTATAATACTGCTAGTTCTCGATACGGCAGAATACTAATGTAGGGACATGTTTGTAGAACATTTGTTGGTTTAACTACGACCAATATAGAGTACTGATATGAAGTACTATGTATGTACATGTAGTTTCGTCAATGTGCTTGAGAAGTAGCTGGGTTTCTCAGAAAACATTTCGTCGTGGTCTGTACACATACTGATCTAACAATTTCCTAGTAGTAGTCACTAGACGCAGCGACCGCCGTCGACCTGTGTGGAATGGTTAGTACTAATCGAATGAGCTGTTGAGCAAGTCCGCCTACCTCTAGGTTTACACCAGTGATAAATTCCGCCTCATCACTAGCAAGGAAGCTGCAGGCATTGGCAACATCCGCCGGAGTACTAGGACGCCCTAATGGGACGGTAGATACAAATGCCGCCCGGTTTTCCTCTGTATCAGGTTTTCCAAGAAACAAGTGCGTCCTGTATTAACAACCTCATGAGCAACATGTACCACTAGCGCATAAAAGCACAGTAAGATAGATAGATAATGCTTACAACCCGGTACTACCAACAACGGGACAAACGCAATTGAATCGGATCTTCTTCGGTCCATACTCAACAGCCATCGCCTTGGTAGCAGTGCTAACCGCCGCCTTGGAAGCATTGTACCAAGTTAAGCCTGGGCGCGGCCGGAGCGCAGCAGTAGAAGAAATCTGGACAAAGCATCCGGGACGGTTATTCTCCTCGAAGTACGGTACGATGACGTTCGCCGAGAGGTAGATCGATTTCACATTGACGCTCATGCACAAGTCGAAGTCGGCGTCGGTGACCTGGCCTGTGGGCTTATTGGAATAGGTTGCCCCGGCATTGTTGATTACGATGTCCAGCTGGCCATATGTGTCCAGGGTTGTCTGGAGTAATGTTTGCCAGGATTCTCGGCTCGTTACGTCTGCGTGGACGAACTTGCTGTTGAGCTCTGCTGCAACCTTTTCGCCATTCTCTTTGGATATCTCCGCGACGATGACTTTGGCGCCCTCCTCGATGAACTTCTTTGCGATTCCGTGACCGAAGCCGGAGCCGGAGCCTGTTATGATGGCGACTTTACCTTCTAGCCGACCGGGCATGATTGTCAGAGGGGGATAGAGAAGACTGGAGGATTAAGTCGGGTGTGAGAATGGTATATGGCTTGGTGCTATCAGAAGATGGAAAGATGATGCTGAAGGTATTTATTCATCATGGATGAGGGGCATCTGTCTATACAGGTGCGGGGTTGCTTAGTATTTTTTGGCATCGAATTGACCAGGGATCCCCGCCGGTTTGTCCTGTGACAGATCCATAGATGACGATCCCGAGGTCCCTTCTTGTGTCTGCCAATAATAATCCTCCACTGAGTTCGGTTTAAACTAGGAATTTGTTCTGGCAACTTAGAAGAGTAGATCTGCTGATCTAGCAGTTCCGTCGTTCTCCAATGAACCATGGCAACGGAGATAACACTGATGGATGAAGCCAAGAATGTCAAGCCCTTGCTGTCATTGAGATAACTCTCCTTTTGAGAAAAGTTAGGCCCACATGGTTGACAATGCCAGATACCGAAAGAGTATATCACTCATGAGTACTAAAGTTACAGTGGAATGGAGAGACAGGCAAAATGAACGGAAGAGGCAAGGGAGATGACATCGGAAACGCACGGACCAGCATGATCGAATCCACCCGACCGGCCCAGGGAACTTCCGCATCCTAATTGATTCAGCCAATTCGCAGTTTCTCCAACAAAGACAAAATTATAATAAATCAAGGAAAATTCTCCGATTCCTATTCACCACTTCAGCATCACCGGTTGGTGCCATCGCTGCTATTCTGACTTCAGCATTCCACTCTTTTACCAACCCTGTTCATCTTCCTCGCGCTTTCCCCGCCAGTCTCAATTGAAAGTCTTCGTCTTCCGTAACCCCCCTTCAGGCGCTTCCTGGTCTTGGATGTCTCGTGCTCCTTCGTTTCTCAACCGAGCCCCGTCAATATTGGTATAAATGGGTGTCTGTGCTTCGTGTCTGGGGGTTGGTCGTCGTCGGGACAGTCAGGATGTAAGTCTGAGAAAGACTTCAAGATTTGAAAGATAGATCATGCGATATGGTGGTGGCTGGGCTGGTCGCAAACTTCTTTTCGTCGCTAACTAATGCGCTCATAGTCTTCTGAGTCCTCCCAACGCCTCCTCGATGACGATATCTACCAGCCGGGCTATGGATATGGCGCGTTAAACAATTCCACCCAAGGCAATCATCCTGATACCGGATACTTGAAGCGTGAACGAGAAGCGCTCGAAGCGATCTGCCAACGGACGTCGGAGTAAGTCGGCTTCTTCCTTGCTGGATACTACACCAGTAGACAGGCAGTCGCTTGCGCACTATAATACTAACTACTCGAAACAATACAGTTCCGTCATCGATATCTGGTCCCTGCAGCCCCAACCTCATCTACAACCCCGAGCGACTCTCCACGGTCCCGTGTCCCCAGCCTCCTCTCGAGCTGGTACAAGAGACGATGTCCCCGTAAGAGTAACCACTACTCCCCCAGCATCAGAGGCCGGTTCTTCTGCCCAGAAACCTGGTTCTCCGAAACCAGGCGCCGTTCCAAAACACTGGGGGGAGGTGGTCATAAATCCGCGTAAGGGTAAATCGCAGCAGCCCGACGATAATGCCCGTGATGTGTTTGGTGTTCTGAAGGTCACGTAATTCGGGGTTGACAACGGACGATATGATGGTTGATAATTGGGGGTTTGTGATCCTTATCTTCTTTCTTCTCTCGCATAGGTCGCCGGTCGACGGTCGATGTCTTCCCCTCTTTCTTCTTGTCATGCACGCCTGCCGTGTCTTTGTTTCTTTCCTTTCTTTTCCCTTTCTTCAATGCCACCCATCGCCCTAGAGATTCTGTTCTAATACCCTGGCTGTATTTTCTATTTCTTTTGTTCGGTCTGCTTCGTTACTTTGGCTTAACTTTGTTTGTCTTTTGCTCTTTACGTTTCGTTCAAATATAACAACATATGCACGATCTTTTATTAATGTCAATATGTGATTTCCTTCTGTTGTCCATGCTTTTGGCTATGAACCCCCCGTGTCACATTACAACACAGGTGATAATTAAAACTTCTTAAAATAAATTCATGTTGTATTAATTGCTATAAACCTGGTGAAGCATATGGACAGCATAAACAAGACATTTCTGAAATGATATGCACAGCCTAGGCGCGCGAACGTCTGCAGAGAACAACCAGAATAGCACAACAGTTGTATTTAAGTGGATTGGAAAAAGGGGAGATTTCCGAACTGCAGATGATTCATCGACACCCCAAGTTCAGCGATGCGTTGCTCATCGGTCCGACCCGCGACTCAATCTTCGTAGTCGCCGTAGTCAGTTGCGCCATGAATGTCAGAACCCGACCCTGAAAACGCCACGACCCTGAACCCCATGAAATAGTGAATAGACGAACAAGAATGACGATGCCGATGCGAGGTAGTTACGCTCACAATGTCGAATACCGAATCCAAGAATAATAGCACGCCGACATAACCGTAGAAAAGGGAACTAGAGAACTGACTCAGTTACACATCGTCCATCGTACCGGCTGGTTCTTCCCCGCCGGATTCGTAGCTGCCCGCGGAACTCAGTTCATCTTCGGATTCTGTGTCTTCTCCGGCATCGTCGACGGCCTCTTTGCTAGCGTACTTTGCCACGTATTCTGTGATTATGAGTATATGGGTGCATGTCCAATGTTTTCGGTGGATAACCTACCCTTCACCTTGGCCTCATAACTCTTGGGTTCCCTCATCAGCATTGCGGCAGCTTCGCCGTTTAGTGGGTCCGATGGGTTCGGATAGCGCAGGAGTTGTGGAAGGAAGACCTCGAAGATGTTGATCATATCGTACATTGGTGACCATGTTTGGTTGATGACATCCAGGCAAACCGATCCGGAACTAGGACATCAAGATTAGTGTCCGCCTTTGAGGAACGTGAATAAAAGTGACTTACAGCTCGTCGATGTTGGGGTGAAAGATCCTATTTACGAACCCAATACTAGGGCTCTTGTAGGGGTATTGGTCGGGTAACTCGACGTGAATCTTCCAGTGGCCACCGGAGAAAGGTGCTGTGTCGCTGTAAGTGAATGGATATAGGCGCCTGGGTATACCAATACCTACTTTCCTCAGGACCCTTGAAGCGGACATAAAATTCTTGCCTGTCAAGACCCTACTGTCAATATCTAGGCCCTAGTGCTCAAATTCAGGAAAATGACGGAACATACACTGCATGGAGTAGTCAGCATAGGGGAATCCGGTGGTAAAAGATAAGAGACACCTACTATTATCATTCACCAGAGTAACCTCATAGTCACTCATTAACCTAAGAAACCATCAGCATACCAAAATCCATGGCTTTTTTCTTTGTATTCTTTGTAACATGTGTAGTTATCCGACAGGACTGCGCGGAGGGGATGTGATAGAAACTAAAATCGGAAGGAGCGCGTACATCCTGTCCAAGAGTTAGTTATGAACCAACGGAAATCATTTGAAGGTATAACGGCATACTTCATGACCTATATCGAGGGGGAAAATGCATATGTTAGCCTTACTTCCTTGCTTGAATGTAACAACCTATGCGCCGTAATCTACTCACATCGGTCTCGATTCTCCGCTTTGGGCTACTCATTTTGCAGGGTTTATTGGTCGATTCGACGCAATCTCAAAGTTCAGGGCACTGTAAATGTGTAGATGAAGTTTCAATATCGAATTTTCGGGACTGTCGTGGTCGAAATAGTCCGCAGGCTTGAAGCGGGGAAGTAAATGAGCGAGCGGGGCAAATGGAATGGAAGGTGTAGGAAAAGTTAGTCAACAATGGAAGTTGAATCTAGCAGGAAAGGAAGGGTGAGGGAGTGGTGATTGAAGAGAGAAATATAAGAACACTGTCAGAGAAAGCACAGAAAGAGGGTGTATTTAAGGAGGGGAGACTGAAAGAGCAGAGTGGCAGCGGTACTGTTAAGTAGTATGAGTGGTTGATCGATGATGGCACCATGAATGCCTGGACCCGCAGGCCGAAAATTGGTCAGTCACTCGCCGCTGGTCATGTGCCATCTGGCCGACCGCCCATGACTCAGCACGTTTCTCTCTAACAAACAAATTGTATTGTATGTATGTAGGGCTTATAGTAGTACCTAAGGCACTAAGCAGATGCCAGCATCATGTCGCCTGCAGACGATCAGGTAGCAAAGTCATCTGGCGAGTAAATCGGGTAGATTTCGCTACGCATATAGCCCCAGAGCACATCAATCAAGACCGACTGTCTGTCACCCGTTCAAACTTTATTGGGTTTGGGTAGAAGTCCAATTTGCTATGCAAACTTGGAAGTCGGGGCGCTATCATGACACTGCAGTACCTATTTGGACTGCCGACTGTATTGGTTGGAAAGTCAACCCAAATTAGGGTTATCCATGGTAGAAATGAATAGCGTATACCGAAGAGCACTAGTGGTACTGAGTTCCAGTTTTATTGAAGAGAATCCAGCTAATGATCTGCAGACTGCGAAACAAGCCGATGGATCTCTTTTAGGGTTGACTCCGCAGGACATCACCGCTGCCGTGCGTTAATTGGGCCGACCCGAGCGACAATAGCCTGAGGCGTCCGACGTCATTTGGGTGCCCATTGGAGACAACATCAACATTTATCGCCGTCACCGCTACTGTATCGCCTTCCATCTCACCCTCACCTTCCGCATCCTACCCGCTTTAACGACGGAAGGCTCCACTAATCAATCTGACCTGTGGTCCGTCCTTCTCCTTGGCTTTTCATCACAATGGACCCCTCATCTTCCCAAAACCCCTCTCAGGACTCGCCGAGACCGTCCCAGAATTTGTCCGCCGGCTCGCGGGCGAGTCTGAGCCATCGACCCGCCAGTCGGAAGCAAAGCTCAGACTCTACATCCAATAATAGGAATGCCCCCATCCCAGATGACGAACATGGGGCGGATATGCCCCTGACCATGTCCGCGTCGGTGGTGCTAACCAGCCTACCGCGTGATGCCCATCAAGCGCTGGCAGATGCTGAGGCCGTTGATAAGGGGAAAGGTAAGCATAGACCAGCTGATAAGCATAACTCTTATGATATTTAGACTTTTTCTGCCCTTCTCAAATTTCTACCTATTGCTAAGCCATGGCTTTGTAAACGAGTTTTGCCTTTTCTAATACTTTAACAGTTACAGTCCGCTTCCAACCTCTGGCTTCTGCGCCCATACTGAAAAACAAAGTTTTCAAAATCAGTGCCTCCCAGAAATTTGAGACTGTAGTCAAGTTCCTCAGAAAGAAGTTAGACTGCAAAGAGACGGACTCTGTCTTCTGTTATGTAAATAGCGTCTTTGCGCCGGGGCTGGACGAGGGTGTTGGAGGCTTATGGAGAGTAAGGATACGATGTTCCTTATTTTGATCGACCTTTGATGACTTTTGCCATTGAACTAACTTGGTTTGTATAGTGCTTTAAGGTTGATGATCAATTGATTGTCTCATACTCCATGACGCCTGCGTTTGGGTGACGAGTTATAATGGCCCTTGCCAACACATTGGATTACAGATATATCCAATCCAACGAACAAAGAAGGTACAAAAGAAAGCTGACTGGTATTGAGGCTTTTCAAAGATTGAGAGAGAACAGCCAGCTGGGTTCTCCCACAGCCAAACAATCATGACAATATTGATGAGGTATCACAAAAACCATGCCGGACATGAGAAATGCAAGCTAGGATGCTTCAACATGAGGAACAAATGCAAGAATATAATCCAAAAGTAGACGGAAAGGAAGATGGGATCATGATTCACTGATCCAGCTTGTCAACCGTTTTTTCAAACTCCGCCAGCTCCTCCTTAGGAATTGGATAAGTGTACTCTTCCGAAGGGTACGCCCGGGATTTCACTTCCTCACGATATTGCTGGATACCTTTAACTGCTTCACCCCAAACGTCGGCGTACTTTTTGACAAACTTTGGGAGGAATCGGCCGGGAGGGAAATTGCCGGTCATGTCGATCTGCACAAGAACTTGTCCGGAGCAGCCATTGCCGGCGCCGATGCCAATTGTTGGAACGCGAAGTTTCTTCGTAATGATTGCAGCAATTTCAGCAGGCACCGCCTCTAGAACCATCATGAACGCACCGGCTTCCTGCACAGCCATGGCATCTTTCAAAAGTTTGAGCGCTCCGGCAGTAGATTTTCCTTGAACTCTGAATCCTCCAAGTGCATTTTGGCGTTGAGGGGTGAGGCCAATGTGACCGACAACGGGGATTCCAGCCTGCGTAATGCGTTTGATCGTCGGTGCCATCTCCTCGCCCCCTTCAAGCTTAATGCCCTGCATGCGCCCCTCCTTTATGATCCGAATCGCCGATTGAAGACCCTGCTCTGGCGACACCTCATAAGAACCCATGGGAAGATCAGCAATCTAGATAGTCACACAACGGTCAGTCAATAACCAAGCCTTGGTGTGGAATCCCAAACCACGAACCGTGAAAGCACTCTTGGCAGCCCGCGCCACGCTCCTGCAATGCAGCAGCATCTCTTCCATAACCACCTCACTCGTATCCTCCATACCCAGGGCCACCATAGCCAAACTGTCCCCAACCAGAATCATCTCCATCCCAGCAGCCTCCGCAACATATCCACTGGGGAAGTCATGGGCAGTAAGCATGGTAATCGGCTCGCCCTTATTGTGTAGATTCCGTAATGTCTGCAATGTCACCTTCTTCCTGGGATTTGTCGACGTAGCTCCCATCGGCGAATGAGAACTGTGTCGCACTGAATGTGCACATTGCGACGGGCCACGACTAGTCGAACTGTTCACAACGGCCAAGCAAGGCCTAACCGTAGAAAGATGCGTCGGTCGAGATACAAGGCTCCTAGAGACAGACCGCAATGGCAGCATCAATTGAGCTGCAGTTCTAGAAGACGCCATGATAACAAGTAATATCTGTACAAGCGGCAATCGATATGTGTGAATTGAGGACGGAAGACGTCTAGATACAAGGGCGGAGATCCAGATTCGAGGTTAATTCACAAGAGGCAAAAAAGCTAGGATCCAAAAGCGGCAAAGCCAATGCCGACTCGAGTGTATGAGAGGAATGGAGACGAATGCCGTCACTACCCGTCAGAAGGGTTACTATAAGAAACACAAAGAAATTTGCCTCTATGTACAGTGTGTCATGTATGTGCTACTGTGTAGAGAAGTAGCAGATCAATGATCAATTAGTCACAAAAAGGCTTCAATGTGAATGTTTACATCCCTCTCCAGCGGTCCCTTTCACCGAGGTATGCAGTTTATATAAAGAAAGACGTGCTGGTTTATGCAGCGTAGCCCGCAGCATCCCCAGGTTTTTGTTCCTTTCTGCCGGATGTTAGGGTTACGGTTAAGTTTTCGTTGGGTCTTTGTCAAGTTCAGTGACGTATCCTGGGTGCCGATTGGTTGGTGGCGTGCATTTAGAGACTCCGTTTGTTCTTCCGCCGGACAATCCACTTTTTCCGGACCGAGTTTCACGGGAGGCCGAGGCTGTTCGGATAGGCTGTCCTGGAATCTTTTAACTACGAACCGGTACGTACGCAGGTTTCAAAACATGGACCTGAATAGAATATAATTTTATTCATGGACCCGCGGACCGCATAAGCCCAGCATTAATGCTCAGGTCTAGCTTGGTCCAGCACTAATAAGAAGTGTTAGGCTATGCCAGCTAACCATACTCACAAAAAAGAAAACTCCATCCCCAACCCAGGGCATTCGAGCCTTAAGTCATGCAACCCCATGAACACATCCACCCCTGAGTTTAAACAACAAACGAACAAAGGAAAAGGGTGTATAAAGAAGAAGGCTCGAAAAATTAATGAACCAAATGAGTATCAATGCAATATTTCCTTCCGAGACAGCATAAGGTCTCTCAATGCGATGCATGTGCTGAATGGGGAATGCTCTCAAAAAGAAACTCCGTGTCACCTATCTCCACGCCAGTCACTCCTGTAGAAACTTATTTTTTATTTTCGTTTTTTGCCCTTGTTTGCCCTTTGTTGTCATGGTTTCCAGAAGGGTCGCTGGAAAGGCCGTTAGCTGTCATTCGTCATCAAGTCCATAGGACAACAAGGATAATGCAAGTGACAATCCAAGGACGCCGGCCAAGTGAATAATGCAATCGACGATAGCGACAATAGAAAGAAAGTTGTAAAAAAGTGTTGATGCAAAAAGGAAACCCGCTACGGGTGTAAAAATGGAGAATGAGTGACGTGAAGCCACTGTCGGTCGATGGCAGTCGCTGCTCCTAGGAGCAAGTGATAGGAGGAAAAATTGCATATACACTGCTGCTACCGAGACTCGGCCTTTCAAGCGCTCACATGGCTTTCCACTTAAATATCACCGTGTCACTGAGCTAAGACAATAATTCGGGAAGCGAATTAAACGTGGCCGAGTACCAATAGGGTTGCTTTGTATGCATACTTCGTTTCGGTTTGTAGAAGCCTAAGCACAGTAAAAAATATGCTAAACATACTCATATTCATCCTTGAGTGGGCGCTGTAGCTGGAAGAGTAGCGAGTCCAATTCTGCCCAATTTGCGCTGTTGGTCGCGAACTTGCGGTGTTTTCTTGTCATAACATGCTGCAAGAGAAGTTAGTACCTTGCTTTCGTTCGCTCTTTGTAGTAGTGACTCACCTCTTCGAAGTCGTCAAACTTATCCCTGCAATTCTCACAATAGCCTGGCTTCGGTTCTCTCCTTCTCTCCTTCTTCTTTCGACAGTTACCTTTTCGTATACTGTTTTGCTGTTTTCCCGCATCATTGCTCTCCGATTGGGTGGTTTCCTCCTCAATGACGTTCCCAAGCTTTTCAGGCGGGTCTAACTTGCTCTGCCGATTGCCTTGACTCTTCGTCATCTTCAGCGCAGCTGTAGCATCTATAGCCCGGTACGATGAAGGGCCCGTGCCGGCGGAGTATCCCCCATTGCTCTTTTCGAGGACTTTTCTCTTAAGCTCATGGACCTCTTTGCTTATGCCAGCTTTTGCGCCAGGCGCCGCAGCGGTAGAGGACACCATCTGGGAACGAATAGCAGAAGTAATATTTGATGGTTGCATACCCGACGCCGCGGGTTCGCGACCACCAGTATAAAATCGTCCACCGCGATTGAGCTGGGGGGGAACAAAGCTTTCAGAGCTTTTCTTCGGGGATAATGGTCGGGATGGCTGCATCTCCTGCATTTCTGGCTCTTTAGGCTGAGGTACAGCGTCCTCAGGAAAATCTTGAGGGCTATTCTCTTTCTTAGATACGCGATCAGCTGGTTTCTCAATGGCATACTCGGAAACATTTGTTCTTGGAGCCTGGGCCTCTTGGGTAGGGACAGCCTTAGACGCAGCCTTTTTCTTCTCTTGTTGACGCGCCCGCTGCCTTTCTAGTTCCTTCTTTGTAGGAGGTTCATCGATAAAGGGGCATTTGCCCAGCGGAGCACTTCTAAATTGTGGCCAGACACCGTCTTGTCGTCTAACAACTTTCGGGTACTCGCGAACCATAACAGGCCTCGTCTTCTCATCCATGTCATGAACATAGACAAATGGACCTTTGAACATGACTAGATCCTTTAATACAGAGAGAGGGTTGCGGTCCGAGGAGCCGTTGAGCTCATTTTGAAGCACTTGTGAAAGGTCTGCCTCGCCTCTACCCCTAGAATGCCCACCACCGACATGGTTGTTTCGGGTCGAATGGCCACCATGACCGCCTATGTCTCCATCATTGATCGTGGCGATCATCCGTTGAAGTTTCTCAATAGCCCATATTTTCATTCCCATCTGACGAGCCCTATGCAGAACATCCATATTGCTCTGCTCACGCCGCGCGTCATTCTTGAGTGACATATGTAGGTGTGCATCAGGGTTCTTCTCGAGCAATGACGGGTTTACCGTCTGCAGAGTGCCATCTGCAGCGGCTTGGTCGACCGATTCCGTATTGACCTCCGCCGGGCTGGCCACATCAGTTTCGGGAGGGATGGGGCGCGACGTGACAACGTGTGTTACTAAACGCGAAAAGAATTTCTCCTCACGCTATGTAATTCTATTAGCACTACGAAAACCAACGTAGACAAGGTAATTGGGTCCAGTGACGGCCTTCGGACATTCCCTCTCTCGTGAGGGTAGTCCAAAGCCTAGTCACTATAACCGGGGAGCATCCTAGATCAACTTACAGCTCCCAATGCAAGGACTTGTCGCGAGCATTTGCTGCGTAGATCCTCTGGAATACTGTCAAAATAGAAGACAAATTGGGGGAATGCCTTCCGATAATGTCTCTGCCACTGCCGTATAGAATCAATGGTTTCCGCCGATGGTCTTTCGTGTCTAGTCCCTCGCAGTTGAGATTGTCTTTCTTTGTCCCTCACAGCAACCAGTTTCCTCTCAAAAGCACTTGGTTGAGCATTGTTCGTACGACGTGTGAACAATTTGGACTCTGCGTTCTGGAAAGTAGCAGGCCTGGAATGGGTTTGTGACCGACTATCGCCTTCTGCACCTTCAATTACCTGCTTTTTGGGTGGTGGCTGGCCGTAAGGGATATCGACGGGTGCATTTGTGGTTCGAGGGCGTTTGGCAGGCACGAGGCCTGCCCTATGGGGGGAGTTAGTAGCATTCGGCACGTTTGCGAGTGGTCGGCGAGTCGACATGTTCAAGGAGGTCCGAGGCGAAGGGGGTATGAATACTGCTGCCATATGGTAACAATACACAAAGCAGAGTAAGAGTTAGTTAGCTGTTGGTGAAGACGCCTGCAAAAGAGGGGTACTCCAGGCCGAGCACGCGATGAACTACACGTCTCGAAGGTTAAATCACCAAGACGCCATCGTTCACACGCGATAAGATGTCAATGAGGTAGGGAGCGTGGTAGTTGAAGGTTAAGACAAGACGCAGACCTGGTTCCTCTGAGAGGAGGTGATTGACAGGTATGGTCAGGTCAAAGGAACATGGGAGGGTGGAGTGGAGGTTCGAGGTGAAAAGAGGCTGTAAGTGATGGAAAGGGAAGAGCAAGAAACAGACTAAGCGTGTCAGGGAAGGTTAGTGTGGAGCCCGTACGGTACGGGCAGTTTGTTTTGGCTTCCCGGGTAGTGCGCCGGACAACAACCAACACTGGCGTCGCGCGATGCATGAAAACCTCACCCAAGTACGACCCAGTATTCGCATTGATTCAATTTTCATGGATTCACATCCCCGGTTCCTCTTTTTAACGCGCTCTTTCACGAAGGGTATATTCTCCAGCCCCCTTCAAACTCGGCATAAATAAACTCCATCGTATCTGATTTTGTCTCATCTAACTCATGATCTGAAGTGGTGATCTCATTACCTTGTGTTGTTCCCGCGTATCACAACGTAATCTTTCGGAGGGGTTTCAAACCTTACTCAGGTCACTACAAGAGATCATCGCCGGAGAATTGAGGGGAATACTTGTGAATGTTCCAAGAGCCCTCATTCTTCTATTATTACAGCTTCTCCACCTACTGCAAGTAGTCCCTTGTTTTTTATAGTACATTCAATATACAGTGGGTATCAATCCAGTGCGCTCCTTACTTTATCCCCGAAGAGCCTCGATATCATCGACCTGCACACATGCAATGTTAGTTCGTTGCGCATAGGACTTGCATAAATCCGGTCCATAGGAGGCAGAAGGACAGAATTTCTGATTTAGACTTGGGATCTCACCTCTTTAACTGCCTCGGTGGTTAGCACAATAGGACTGTCGTCCCCGACGCACACGCTGTCCTCAATACGGATTCCAATGCCCCGGAACTTTTCCGGCCATCTGTCGCTGTCCGGGACATAGATACCGCTTGGTGGGATTAGCTTAAAGACTAAAACAAAAGAGAAAGTGGCTTGGGTCATGACATACGGCTCGACAGTTATACATTGGCCCGCCTTCAAGTTATACCCTCGAGAATAACCCGGGCAATCATGGACGTCCAGTCCTACGTAGTGACCCAGATGATGAGGGAACAAGATGCCCATTGCCTATGAACGTCAATATCCATGTTAGGCTAGACAAAAGGGTGATCTTACATTTCCTGATACATCAAAACCAAGCTGTTGGAGCTGATCTCGAAGGCCATTCTCGGCAATTGTGTGTAATTTGTCCAAGGAAACATTTGCACTCTCCCTGCAAAGGGACACGCAGGTGCGTTGCACACTTAAAACGGCATTGTACAAATCGCGCTGAGGGCCGGAGAACTCGCCATTAACGGGCCAGGTCCTCGTGATGTCAGAGACATATGTGCCCATTTCCTATCGAGCGATAAGTAGGAGTAGCAATTTATAGGAGCATTCATGTACGTACTCCACCCCCATCGACTAATACCATATCTCCGTCCCTGAATGGTCATATGTTAGACCAAACTTCGAATGCCAAAAGATGAAATTCATCTTACCTCAAGACATCGTCATTCCTCGTGTAGTGGATGCTTAAAGCATTCTGTGAGGTATTAGCCTCTGTTCAGCTCAGTCACCATAGGACACATACAGACCCGCCCGCAACAACAGGCACAAAGGCGCTTGTATCGCAGCCCTTCACTTTGAAATTGTATTCCAAGAAGGAAGTCAAGTCCTTCTCCTTAGTGAATGTTTGTCTCATGGATTCAGTGAAAGCTCTTCCCGAAGCTTGTCCCACTCGACGCAGTTGCACGACTTCATCCTCACTCTTGAAAACCCTCATGTCATTCAAGATGTGTCGTAATGGCCTGACCTTACTATGATCCACGACCTTCTTCAGTTGCTCAGATGTGCCGGTGGGTCCGTAAAGGTACCTATGTAAGGATGATCTACCAGAGTTCAAGGCGGGGATGTCCGTATAGATCTCCGTAGCATCAGACAATATACGAGGCAGTATATCCCCAATGCGTTCTATATCACCTGTCTAGAATCGGAAAATTAGTTATGCCCTAAAGAATAGTAGAGAGTACGAAATGTTTACCTCATCAGCATTAAAAACATCAATCGCAGCCCGCGTGCCCGACCGGGCACCATCCCAGAGCTCAGCTTTCGGATCCTTTTCTCGTACATAGAGGTGGAAAATGTGATTATCTCCAGAGCCATCATTTGCTACAGTCATGAGCCTCACTCATATTGTCACATTTGCGGATGAAGCACTCACCGATTATAGCCAGTGCATTGGGCTCGTTAAATCCTGATCAGCGTGAGAGCGGTGAGTGCCTATTCTCCCAATAGAAACATACGACAGCCACGGACCTGTAAGATAGAAGAAGTTGGAGTCTTGTCGGTATTCATTGAAGATACCGGACGCACGATATGTCACCTCTGCAGCGCTCAACACCGCGACAGCATATTTCGGGAGTCGGTTTGCGAGTCGTGAACGGCGGTGGGCATACTCGAGCGCAGTGATTCCGGGCGTCACTTATTCTGAGTCAATATGTCTCACACATTTTCCTCGCGCATGTCCTAGTATGACGATAACATATACACACGTTCACCTGGATTAAGTATATGGGGATGTGTCTCGTGCAATGGTTGTCCGAATTTAAGCTCCGCAGCGGAAATAGAACCGTATGCGCGACGAAGGGTTGGTCGTGTCTGGAACGCCGTGCGGTTGAAGCTTGTGACAGGTAAACGCGACGTGGGACAACGTAGATAACGAGGCCATTGGCGGGTGAGCAATTTGCATGTCGACATGCTTACGGGGGTGCCTTGAGAGTAACTGTTTCCAAATAGCCTGGAATTCAGGTTTATCTGGTTCAGGTAAAGTTATCGCCCAGCGATCGGTCAGAAGCTCCGACGCCCTTCCAGTGGGTCATTAATGCCTTAGGCAGCTATATACCTCTAGTCTCTCGGCGCCCTCAGCCAATCGTTCTCGATTAATTTAACATCCTCTCCGCATGGACCTCCCGAGTATGGAGACAGTTTGCGATGGTCAATAACATACTAGGTATCGCGCGACAGCTTATCTCGGACGAGTGCAACACTACGGAGTAAGCACGGAGTAAGCACATGGCTTGCGTGATTATAAGAGAAAGCCATATCTGGGCAATGGCCCTAGTTCTTTTCAAACGCTAGACGGAAGGGAATTTAAACCGCACAGTGTATAGACTCATTCCTCGAGTTCTTTACTGTGGAAAGACAAGCAAAACGCATATCTATCCTGCGATATGGGGCGAACACTGACATATCCCAAGCGGTCTTCCAATACTGTTAACCGCTACAAACATCGAGGTAAAGTTTGGATGAACGAAATATTACAACTAGGTGCCACTCTAAGACTCTTCTAGCCACTTATGACTTGAAAGCAATCCATACCATCATCAATTCGAGTCAGGTACTCCATGTGTCTTTCTCACCTGGGCCCTCTGACCCTTTCCCCGCAATTCTGCCCATGATCGGGCAGATGGGGTCGTTCGACTATCCATCGGCGGGCATTGACGAACCCTTGGACTGCTATCTTCACGGATACGTCAGTTCACGGATCATGAATTTGGCCCGGGACTCTGAGGGTGATGGATTGCCCATTTGTGTCGCCGCCAGCAGGGTGGATGGGTTAATCCTTTCCTTAACTCCAAATTCACACAGTTATAACTACCGGTCCGCCGTATTGCACGGATATGCCAAAATGGTGACTGACGAAGCCGAAAAGCTCTACGCAATGGAATTGATTACCAATTCAGTACTCTCCGATCGCTGGGAGCATTCCCGAGTACCACCAGACCGTGCAGAAATGTCATCCACCGTCATCCTCAAGGTCAAAGTCGTCGATGGTAGTGGCAAGATCCGAGACGGTGGTGTCTCGGATGAAAAGAAGGATACAACGAACGATGAGGTCACCGGCCGTGTCTGGACTGGTGTTGTGCCTGTTTGGGAGACATTTGGAGAGCCCATTCCAAGTCCTGAGAACAAAGTAACAGAAGTGCCTGACTATATCACTCGGTTTGTCGCAGATAAGAATGATCGAAATCGGCGATATGCAAAGGAGGCTGTTCATATTGCACTCCCCCTTGAGGAACAGCATTAGTCCTGTTGGTTCTCATGGCTTTCCTTCCTTGCTTTTATTATATTTACGACTATATGGACGACTTCTGGTAGCTAGAATTTCCAAATTTACTATATTACAAGCACTTCCTGTCTAAGTGGCATTCGGAAGCTTATGCTGAGTCAGGCAGGGCGAGCTGTGTGAGGTGGTTCACAATGAGAATAAGAAGTCTGGAAAAGATATTATTATCTCATTTTATTATAGCCCCTAATATAATTACAGTGGAAGACAAGTTACAGTAATTTATTACTATCCTACTAAAAACGTTTATGTTAAGACACAAATCGAACTATATCAGTTGCGCTATCGCCCTGCAAGATATATACAGAGTATTTCAACCCGCTTTAAAATCCGTAACAAACATTGAAACTTCAAGAATGGAGAATTATTTGATATAAATATTTAAGTACGATATACATAAGTACCTATTGGCAAGGGCCAAGATTGAGGGATATCCTGCATAAATACAATCTTAAGAGGTCTGAGCTCAAGCCATCTGATGGTTCAAATGCCACGCACTACGGGAAGGACTAACGTCATTATTTAAACATCAACATTGCATCCAAACCAATACTCATCTTTCTTTGCCCATCGTGGCCGTGTACATGTTTCTACCTTTTCTTTGATACATCTATGAGTATATATTAGTATATCACCCGCTATTTCTATTACCTTTCTCGTACATCTGTTGCGGGGTACAAGAAAACGTCCGTCGCAGTCATTATCAACACCCCGCTATGGCTCCGTCAGCTATTCCCGCAGCTGATCTTAGGACATTTTCGGAGTACCTAAAAGGATGTAAACGTATACTCGCACTTCTAGGAGCTGGCATCTCAGCCTCATCGGGGCTTCCAACATTTAGAGGAGCTGGCGGTTTATGGCGAACGTACGATGCGACTGAGCTGGCGACGCCCGAAGCATTCGAAGCCAATCCAGACCTTGTGTGGCAGTTTTATAATTATCGGAGACATATGGCGCTAAAAGCAGAACCGAATCGCGCACATTATGCGTTAGCAGAGCTTGCTAAAAGGAATAAGAACTTTATTACATTGTCGCAAAACGTCGACGGCAAGTCCTGACCTTCGCTACACTGCCTATCGACCTCACATGGTCAACTAATAAAATAATTCGTCTACAGGTCTCTCACAACGAGCAGATCATCCATCATCCCAACTTCACCTTCTCCACGGTTCCCTCTTCACCGTTAAATGCACGTCTTTCTACTGCAGCTACTCTCGTGAGAACGACTTCACTGATCCAATAGTTCCTGCTCTCGCGATACCAAAGAATGCTCCAGAGCCCAAGCCATCGACGGATGATAAGACGGGCGAGGAAGCTTCGAAGTCTGTATATAATGCGTTAGGCATACCGGAAGGTGAAGAAGTTGACATTTCTGATGACCGAGTTCCACTGGCGCGGCTGAGCCCTGATGTCCTTCCACATTGCCCAGAGTGCAAAGATGGACTCCTTCGACCCGGGGTGGTGTGGTTTGGAGAGAGCTTGCCGTCACAAACCCTCAACGTGGTGGATAGCTGGATGAGGTCTGGTCCGATCGATCTGATACTAGTGATTGGTACAAGCTCCAGGGTATACCCTGCTGCAGGCTATGTTGATAAGGCTAGGGCGAGAGGCGCTAGGGTTGCGGTGGTCAACATGGATCGGAACGATGTAGGATCTTCAGGATTAAAGCCAGGTGATTGGTTCTTCAAAGGCGATGCAGGTACCATCGTTCCAGAAATTTTGAAGGAAACGATTGGGGAGATCTGATTGGCATTATGGAGAATTGTCGGTAGGATCGTCCGCCAAACTAATACACTCTATGGCTCCAGTGATAGCTTAAATATACAACTCTCAGGGCTATGTTTGCCTGTTATAGTACTCCCCCCAGTTGTTTACTATTAGAAAAAGAGGGACGACCAAATACCTACTCAATAGCAGTCCTTGATATGTAGTTCTAGCCTTTATACTTTGCTCGAAAACTTTGTAAGAGATTCACTTGTGTTGTCATTGATCATACTCAAAGAATCAGGCCCTGGGGCGACTGGTTGCCGGGGCAAAAGTCCTACCCAAACAAAACTAGCGCGTTAGCGCTATCGATAAATGTGGCATGGGCACTAAACAACATTCGCAGCCTCAACATCAACTTCTCTAGCAACCCCGCCCCCACTCGGTCAGCCTTGGAAATAATTATAGCTCCTTTGTTATGACATGAACGATTCTCAAGATCTAATGACAGTATGTGTATGAAGTTATTCTAATATAAAACCCCACAGTGTGGGAAATTCTCCGATGGGCTGAAGAGTCGTGCTAATAATTGTTCCCCTACGATCAGATCTAAGAATGTTTGAGAAAATCCAACATTGGTGAAACAATACACCTTTTCTTTTCATCTCGCAGAATTCGTCATAAAATTCACAAACTACCTCGGCAGCCTACCCACATAGACACCTCAGAGGAAACCCCTCCATCAAGTATTCAAGATGGCTAAAGAAAGTGAAAACCCGTTGAATCCGATCACTCCAGGAAAGCCGAAAGATCAATCCCACCGTCACGTTTCCAATCAGCCAGAGTTTGGAAAGCCCTCACCGTTAGGCGGGGGGCGCCCTCAAAACCATCAATCCAATCACCCTTTCAACATCCCTAAACAGAACAGGCCTCGGCCGGAGCACCATAGACCTCAACAACAGCAGCGACCAGGTGCACCCTTCCATAGTCACCGGCCACCTACGACACCAGGTGTTGCAGTCTCAACTCCCAGACGCGCCGAACCCTTTGACCCTTTTAAGCCCGTTCGTCCGTCAGCCTACAACAACTCTCGGTTTTCTCGCCCTGTCAACGACGATGTTGTCGTAATCAAACGCCCGGAAAATTTCACCTTTAACACACCACGGGCCCCCAAAACCTTTTTCGCCTCGAATGCCTCTGCGGTTAAGGTGTCGAACGCATCGAAGAACCTTCGGAACTTTGTTGATCTGACTGGCGAGGGCGGCTTCACGCCCAGCTCCCGATCGCGCAATGTCGGGTTTGGGTCAATGGATGTGAACGGTTATGTTGACACAGCCAAGGCAAATGAAAATATCAAAGCTCTTCTAGAGGGAGCCTTTGAAGACGAAGATGAAAAGCAAGATTCCAAATCAAAGAACAAGAAGAAGAACAAGAACAAGAAGAATAAGGATAAAAATAAGAAGGCCGAGGCACAAATCAACAAGAATAAGGAAAGCTCCGAAATAGATGATCTAGCCGCTCAATTGCAAGGGGTTACTGTTAATGAGTCCTGCACTGACGAAACCGAGGCCGATCGATCCAGCGAGGATACTACCGACAGAGAAGCAGTCGAAGAACAAACAAAGATTCAGGATAAACACGTTGTCACCGGAGACATTGGATCGAAAAACGAAGACGGTGAAGAAGAAGAGGACGAGGACGAGGAAGAAGAGGAAGATGAAGATGAAGACGATGGCACAGTAGAGGGCTTAAAAGTCAAACTACTGCCCCATCAACGAGAGGGAGTGAACTGGATGCGGGACAAGGAAATTGGTAATAGCAAGACTAAGGGTGTGCTTCCGAAGGGTGGAATCCTCGCAGACGACATGGGTCTTGGAAAGACCGTTCAAGCCATAACCTTGATGCTCACAAACCGGAAACCCAAAGACGGGCGCCGGCGCATTATTGATTGTGAAGAAGACGATAACAGTGGCAATGACTCCGAAAACGATGGAGGAAAGGATAATTCGAAGCTACCCCCCGGGTTAAGCAAGTCAACTTTGGTTGTTGCTCCATTAGCATTAATCAAACAGTGGGAGGCCGAAATCGCCGACAAGGTCGAGACATCCCATAGGCTTCGTGTATGTGTTTATCATGGGAATACTCGAACAAAAGCGACAGACAATCTTGAAGATTACGATGTTGTGATTACAACATATGGTACTCTGACGTCTGAACACGGCGCCATCGACAAAAAGAACAAGAAATCCGGTATCTTCTCCGTCTACTGGTACCGAATCATTTTGGATGAAGCCCACACTATTAAGAATCGGAATGCAAAAGCAACTCAATCTGCTTGCGCTTTAGACGCTGAGTATCGATGGTGCTTGACCGGAACTCCTATGCAGAACAACCTTGACGAGTTGCAAAGTTTGATCAAGTTCCTCCGGATCAAACCCTATAACGATCTAGCAGCCTGGAAAGAACAAATTACTAAGCCCCTAGCCAATGGGCGTGGGGCCCTCGCGATCGAGCGTCTACAAGTTGTGCTGAAGGCTTTTATGAAGCGGCGCACTAAGGATGTCTTGAAACTCAATAATAACCTCAAACCCAACGAAGCAGCTTCCGATGGCGGGCAGAAAAAATCATCTGGCTTCCACATCGTCAAGCGAGAGGTGATCAAGGTTTCGGCAGAGTTTACACCGGGTGAGCTGAACTTCTACAAGCGCCTCGAGCAGCGAACGGACAATAGCCTTGAAAAGATGATGGGTGGCTCTAAGCTCGACTACGCAGGCGCATTGGTACTGCTATTACGTCTCCGACAGTCCTGTAACCATCCAGACTTGGTGAAAAGCGACCTTGCTAAGGATAAAGATATTCTTCTGCAGAATGGTACCTCGGGAAGCCAACCCGCAGCCGGGAAACAGGATGATCTGGACAGTATGGCGGATCTCTTCGGTGCTCTCAGTGTTGTCTCGAAGAAGTGCGATATTTGCCAAGCTGAGTTGAGCCAAAAAGAGACAAAAGCCGGTGCTAGCAGGTGTGGTGAGTGTGAGAAAGATCTGAACGTTAGTTTCGCCGGTAATCACAGCGACAAGAAAAAGCGTTATTCAGAGCGAGAAGTTGTGGACCTTACGGAATCACCCTCAAATCGGCGATCAGGGGCTCAACTTGCACGGTCCCGAAGAAATAGAAAGGTTGTCGTGGATAGCGACGATGAAGAAGACGATGGCGAATGGCTCGTCCCCGAAGATCAACGTACGGTACCAGATCTTGGAAAGGCTGGGGGATCGGATGACGAAGATGCAGAAGGAGGTGGCGATTGGCTCGGCTCAGAAGACTCTGAAACTGACTCGGACGATGAAGGTGGCCCTGAGTCGCCAACCCGCAACCGTATGGCCGGGAGAAAACAGGCTAATGAATCGGATGAAGACGACATTTATCTTAATCCTGGCGATGATGACAACCAGGTGCTTCCTTCAACAAAGATCCGACATCTCATGAAAATCCTCAGGCGAGAGTCTGCGGACTACAAATTCATCGTATTCTCGGTCTTTACGTCAATGTTGGACAAGATTGAACCGTTCCTTCAGCGCGCGGGCATTGGATTTGCACGTTATGATGGTGGTATGCGAAATGACTTCCGAGAGGCCAGTCTGAACAAACTGAGGAACAATAGTGGGACAAGAGTCTTACTTTGTAGTTTGCGAGCTGGTGCACTGGGACTGAATCTTACGGCGGCCAGTCGGGTGGTTATTTTGGAGCCGTTCTGGAATCCTGTATGTTCTTCACCTAATGCTAACAGTCTTATGCCTACCATTGTGACTGACTCTGATCTACTTAGTTCGTTGAGGAACAAGCCATTGACCGTGTCCATCGTCTAAACCAAACTGTCGATGTCAAGATCTACAAACTTATTGTTAAGGATACAGTTGAAGAGCGAATTATTAACCTTCAAGAGCGCAAGCGTGAGCTCGCTAATGTCACCATCGAGGGCAAGACTGCTGCAGCCAAGCTTACCATGAACGACATGATGGCCCTCTTCGGCCGGGATGCGGAATCACGCTTCACAGGGGAACGTGGCAACATCGACCTTACACAATCCACACGATTATTGAGCACCGCCGATGAAAACAACTCTTCAAATTCTCAGTCCTCTGACAGACCGAGGACGCAGGCATCACACTCCAGCTCACGCGATCGAAGCCGGCAGCCAGAGAAACGGGGAGGGCCCAGGGGCGAAGATTCGGTCTTTGGAAGACGGTGGTAAATGCACAGATCGTGTTCTGGAGCTTGAGATCCGAGACAAGGCGCGTAAAGCAGACGATGCAATTTCACGATGGGGACCAATTGGATAGGGTGTTGGGTATGACCAGTTTTAAGTCTTGCTGTAAGGTGTTGGATTTTATTGAGGCTTTTCTTGGCGTCCAAGTGATTAGACGTGCTTTCTGGAAACAATTATACTTTGATGAACATCTCATTATTCTCCGGACTACCAAGTTCTTCGAAGACCTTGTTGAGTGATCGTTGCCTCCGAGTTTTGAACTTAGATTTTTGAACCAAGTCAGCGAATTAAAATCCGATGCAACATCAGCAGGCTGGACAAGAACCGAACTTAAATATAGACATTGGCATGGATACTTGGCCTGAGAAAATCTAAGAAGAAGAAATATAAGTTTGCAAAGCCTCCGATTGGTCTCTTTAGCTTTTGGAGTGAAGTATTAGCTGTTCATTCGTTGTCATACCTACTTACTCAAACTAATGTCTCCACGTTGCTTCATGCAGAAGAGGTACACGCTGGATCTATAAAGACCATGCCGGTCCCAGTCGCTCGACAGCCATTCTGTACCATATGTGGCTCTGTGGAATGGTTCAGACATCATGCACCTCATCTTTCAGGCATTTGCATCAATCGTCGCTATGTGCCTAATTGGTACAATGGCCGATGTGACTCAATCCGATTCAAAACATGAACCCTTCTCACTCGACCAGCTTGGTATCCTCGAGCGTGATGTGGCCGTCATAGGGGGTGGATCAGCAGGCACATATGCCGCCATCCGCCT